CTCCACTCTCCCCAGCTCCTCCTTCCTGGGGCTTGCCTGGGAAGGTCCCAACCCAGTAGTATGTTCCCTCTCCTCCTCCTGACCCACACCCTCACCTCTAGCACATTCTTCTTGCTGGATTTGTCTTTGAGGGCCCAGGCAAGAGAGGCCCCCCTCAGCTCCACTGTGTACTCAGGTATGGAGAGCTTGGAAGACTGCCTCTGTGGGAGAGGGGAGAAGGGTCAGGGGAAGCTCGGTTACCAGGAGCCCTCTGCTCAGACAGGCCTGCCTCAGCTCCCTGGCTCCAATGCACCAGGCTCCTTTGGCTCTAGGATGGGGTCACAGCCTGGGGGAAGGGAGCCTGAGGGTTCCTGGAACCCAGAGATCCCGGTACTTTTAACCACCTAGCCTTGGAGTGACTGGTCCTTTGCTGCCTACCCACCCAGGATAGTGGTAGTCAGATGGTAGAATATTCTCTTGTAATGCTGGGCAGCATCAGGGAGCCACAGCTCCCAGTCAACCACTCTATCATGTGGGTAAATAACCAATATACTTACAACCATTCTGTACCCATATAATCATTGTTTTTCTTTAAGTACAATATTCAATAAATTACATAAGATATTCAACACTTCGTTATAAAACTGGCTTTGTATTAGATGATTTTGCCCAACTGTAGGCTAATGTAAGTGTTCTGAGCATGTTTAAGGTAGGCTAGGCTAAGCTTTGAGGTTCAGTCGCCTAGGTATTTTAAATGCATTTTGGACTTAACAAACGAGTTTATCAGGGCACAGTGTCATCGTAAGTCAAGCAAGATCTTTAACAGTAAAAGCCTCTGTTTATTGAACCCTGTGCGTGACATGGATTATTTCCTTTAATCACAGTGCCCCCAGGATGGGGGTAGTATTATCCCCACTTTGCAGGTAAGGAAACTGATCAGAGACAGAGCAACCAGACAACATTTGCACACCTGATAAATAATGCAGCTGGATTTGCACAGTACTTATCTGGCCTGTGCTTCTAACTGTACTTTGTTTCTTCCACAACAAAAGACTCTGGGGCTTCAAAAACAACAAGCTTTATTTAAGAAAGCAAATGTGCGTAGTGGCTACAATCAAATAACAGCCTGGAAAGTTCTCTGAGGGCCAATATGAGTTAAAATCCGGTAAGCTAGTTCAACCATTGTGGAAAGCAATATGGAGGTTCCTCAAAAAACTAAAAATAGAAATACCATTTGACCCGGGAATCCCACTCCTTGGAATTTACCCAAAGAATACAACTTCTCAGATTAAAAAAGACATATGCACCCCTATGTTTATTGCAGCAGTTTTTACAATAGCCAAGATATGGAAGCAACCTAAGTGTCCATCATAGATGAATGGATAAAGAAGATGTGGTACATATACACAATGGAATACTATTCAGCCATAAGAAAGAAACAAATCCTACCATTGGCAACAGCATGGATGGAGCTGGAGGGCATTATGCTCAGTGAAATAAGCCAGGTGGAGAAAGACAAGTACCAAATGATTTCCCTAATTTGTGGAGTGTAACAATGAAGCAAAACTGAAGGAACAAAATGGCAGCAGACTCAGAGACTCCAAGAAGGAACTAGTGGTTACCAAAGGAGAGGGGTGTGGGAGGGAGGGAGAAGGGGACTGAGAGGTATTATGTTTAGTACACACGGTGTGGGGGATCACGGGGAGAACAGTGTAGCACAGAGAAGACACAGTGGATCTGTGGCATCTTGCTGCACTGATAGACAGTGACTGCATTGGGGTATGGGTGGGGACTTGATAATATGGGTAAATGTAGTAACCACATTGTTTTTTCATGTGAAACCTTCATAAGAGTGTATATCAATCATACCTTAATTTAAAAAAAATCCAGACTGGAAGGGGTGGAGTGGGATGTGGAGCAGAATCCTAGAGATGGAGAGAAGTCGATGGTGAGAAGTGAGGTTTGGGAGAGGCAGCATACCAGGGAGGCAGGAGAGAGGCCCAGAAAGGGAGATGAGGAGGGGGAAGGCAGATTCAACCTGAAAATCCCTCTTCTGGCATGAGGACTGACTCAGAGGTTTGGAAACATTTCCCTTAATACAGCCAGAGCATCTCTGAGCATCTCCCCCATCTATCTGATCCCCACTCTTTCTAGGGTGGAATGATAGAGAGAGGGAAAGCGAGAGAGAAAGAGAAGCAATCCAGAACCCACTTCCCCCTTTGGTCATTTACTTGTTGAGATAGTCGAGGGCCTTCATTATTTTCCATCTAAATATTTTTAGGATTAATTCATAAGAAGATAAATGTACAGTGACAATCCTTAATGTTTTGCATCTGAAAACCTCTGTGTATCTGTTGTTTCAAATGACATCCCTGGGTGCTCGGAGAAGGAACTAACATCCCTTTTCACAAAGGAGGAAAGTGATCCCGCAAGGCTCAGTGCCCAGCAAGCCCCACAGCAGAGCTGGGCCGTCCCTCCCAATAGGCGGAGCTGTGTGCCCGCTGCAGAGCAGGCACTCTCCAAGCATTCTGTGGGGTCTTCCAACAACCTTCACAGACATCCTGAGTGACCTGCCTAAGTGCCCCTAGCTAGTAGGTGACACAGCCAAGATGGAACTTGAGTCTTTTTTACTCCAAAACTCAAGCAGACTCTACTACACTGGCTTCCTGAATTAACAGATTCTCCAGGAACCTGTTCTCTGGTTAAGGGCTGCTCCACATACACACATACACACACACACACCCCTCTCTACCACAGTCTCTGAGGCTGGTGCTGGGTTTGAAGCCCATTTTTCACTTATACTCTTCCCCTGCTCGTAGCACCAAAGCTGAGTTTAGGCTCTGCTGCTTCCAGAAATGTTGATATCTGTGAGTAAGGTGTGCATATGTAGGAGGTTAAGTACCCAATCCCTGCCTCCAAAAACCTTCTGGATTTGATCCCCTTCCCTGGCCACTCCATCCACTAGTGACACAAGGCAGGTAGGATAATAAATAACACCAACCTATAGATGAACAACGTTGTAGTTCACCTCGTACATTTCTCATCCGTTAATCAGTCTGGCCCTGATACCAGCTCTGTGAAGAAGGAAATGAGTAATACCTTTCTAGTTCTACAGGCAAGGAAACTGAGGCCCAGAGAGGTTAGGGAAGGTTTCCAGGGTTAGAGGAAGAGGTAGACCCTAGGCTTGAGCCCAGCATTATAAATCCCCAAGACTAGGGCCCTCTCTAGTAAGCCACCTTGCCTTCACAGGGCTCGGAACCCAGTGAGGATTAGTTGGATTCTGTATTTTATTTCTGCTTGCCTCAGCATAGGGGGAAGAGATGGAGGACTGAGCAAATGGTAACCAGAGACCTTTGTTGGTAGGGTGGGAGGGATAAGGGTGGTTAGCAGAGGGCCAGATAAGGATGCTGGAATCCTGGGAAGGAGAGGAGAAAGAAACCAGAGAAAAAAGCGAGCCAGCTTAGGAATTGTCCTTGGGGCCCACTGAAACTGATGGCTAAGGTGGGAAAGTGCCTTTTACCTGCCCAGAGCCCTGGAGAGAAAGGTACTTTACAGATATTTGCTAGGAGGCTTGGGAAGAATATGTCCCTCCTCCCCAAGCCGGTGGCAGTGGGGGGCCTGCCCAGTTGCCCTGGTAGTGGCCACATTGTGAGGTGATTCTGGTTACAGGCAGTGGGATTGGGTGAGAGGAGACAGAGGCAGTGGGAGCAGTGACAGAATCCTGAGCTCTGCTGTCCCCATCCCCTGCCTGGGGCTTCCGCCTCCCCCACCATCATGGGAAGTGCTTACCACTGGGAGGCCCGTCGTAGGCAGATGGCTTTGGACAGGAGGTGGCTGATGGCCCAGCAGCAGCAACAGCAGGAAGAGCAGGTGCATGGGAGGGACCGGGTTCATCAGGGCCCTTCCACAGGCAGGAAGGGAATGGGGAGAGAAGGCAGACGCCTACCTAGGAAGCTATTATCTGGTCAGTGTTGTTTTGCTGGGGGCAGGAGGAAAGTAACATCTTTTCCCTGGATGTTTTCTTGGATGGACTGTGTGTGTGTGTGTGTGTGTGTGTGTGTGTGTGTGTCCTGGGATGACTCAGCTTTTGTTGTGCTAAGCTGAGGCCCAACAGATGTGGGGAGGTCAGGCCTGGGAGGTTTTAAAGGTGCTCTGTCCAATACAGTGACCATCAGCCTGTATGCTACTGAGCCTTTGAAATGTGGCTAGTGAGGCTAAGGAACTGAAGTTTAAAATTTCTATATATTTAATTAATTTAAATATAAATTTTAAAATAAATACTCGGTTTACATACTGGAAAACTTATTTACATGTGTTTGGAACAACTTGGATATGTGAATACTTTTTCCAGCTGTAAACTTTACAGCATGTAAATATGCATCTTTTATTTCTCATGAGAATGTAGTGTCCAAACTAAGATGTGCTGTGGAATATAAAAATTCATGCTAAGTTTTGAAGACTTAGTACAAAAACAAAGAATATAAACTATCTCATTAATATTTTCATATACCAAGTTGATGTTTTGGATGTATTGGGTTAAATAAAATATATTCTTAAAATTCGTTTCACCTGTTTCTTTTTTTGTGGCTACTACAAAATTTAAAATTACACATGGCACATATTCTATTTCTATTGGACAGTGCTGTTTCAAAGAGTTGGCAGGAAAATTATTCCTTATCATCTGGTACTGCAGACTGTTTAGTGCACAGCTCCCAGGGTAGGAAGTAGGTGCTCAGAGACTGCTGTTTTCTGAGCAGGGGCTGGGCCAGGGGCACTGTCCCCATAGAAACAGTTTTTGGGTGATGTGGATGAAGGGAGATAGTCTAGCCTCAGCCTCCAGCTCCCTGGAACATCAGGTTCCAGGGACCAGAGTCCCCAAGACACCATTGGCCATCAACAAAAAACTGAGCAACACTACCTTCTCATCACCTACCAACATCTCCAGTCCAAGAGCCACCCTCTGCTGACCCACCTCAGAGGAGGCAGCTAGCTAGTAAAAACTGAGCAACACTACCTTCTCATCACCTACCAACATCTCCAGTCCAAGAGCCACCCTCTGCTGACCCACCTCAGAGGAGGCAGCTAGCTAGCCAGAGACCCTGAGGCCACTCTGCCTTCGGATCCCTGGGCCTTGCTTACTGCAGGGTCTTTGGCAGATGGGGTGACTGGGTGGGGAGGGACAAGGATCCCATTTGTCTGGGGCTTCTTGCCAGGAAATGAAGAATCTCCAAGAGAAGGAAGTTCAGTCTGAGAGAAATCCCCAGACTTCCCGGGAGTTGCAGCAGAAGGCGAAGCTGCCACCGGCCAAACGGCAGCCGCCATCCCCATCCGCGGAACCGCAGCCGCCCACTGCGCAGCCAGCCGAGCAGCAGCTGCAGCTTTGTGCGCAGCTGTGGCAGCAAAATGCCAAAGACACTTTTACTCAGTGCGCCTCCAAAGCTGTTCGGCAGGATTCCGAAAGGCCAGGTCCCCCCCAGCATGGCTCGGTGGGAACCCACCAAGTTGGAGGGCAATCCAATGACCTTAGCAACAAATTGCAAGGAGGGCTGAAGATCCAAGACCCTGGTAAGTCAGATGCCTGGGAGGGTGATGAGGAGAGGGCCCCTTGCTCTCATGCCAGCCATTAGTTCAAAATTCACATGGGTCACCCCACCCTGACTCTCCTCAGCCCCCTTGACCTTTACTGGGGGGCCACTGCTCTGGGTGCCTCTGCACCAATCTAGGACTGCAGAGAGGGCTGCCAACTTTTGCCAAGGGTGACTGAGAAGTCAGTCATCAGCCCCTCCTCTGGGGTAAGAATAACGGGGTTGAGGACGGTCAGAGGGTGGGATATGAATCATACGCTTAATAAATATGCTGAGTCCCATGAGGTCTGGAACTGAAAATCAGTGCAGCTTCCTAGTTGTGAATTTTCAGAGTAGGCTCAGTTTGTACCTTTTTCTAGGCACAGTGTAGTCCAGCTCTGCCATGTTCCATTCTCAAACTGCCAGGTGACTAACAAATGCTTTGTTTCATCATCAGATTTCAGGAAATCGTACCAGTCTAGCCCAGATAAATACACCCAGCCAGCACGATTCACGGTGAGACAGACAGTGCGAGAGGCGGACTCTGGCTGCATGTCTGAGAGTGAGCTTGTGTGTGTGTGCACGTACAGTCTAGAGGCTCCCTTGGCAGCAGGCGGGAGAGGCAGTGGTGATTTCAGAGTGGATAGCCCATTCCTCCCTTCGTTGCCTCCACAAAAACATCTAGGTAGGACCTGTTGCTCAGTGCTAAATGTAAGTGGAAGGGTTGACAATCCATTTGGAAAGAGGACAGGAGCCAGAGAAGCAACATAAAGGGGCTGTTTTAAGCAATGACTAGGGTAGAGGCCGCTGGAGCAAGATGAAGGCAAGACCTGAAGCCAGAGGCTGTCCACCTCAGGACCACCATTCCCTGGTAGCAAGACAATATCAGAGCCTCAGCTCCCCTATCCATAAAACGAGGATAATGCCACCTCCTCAATAGACATGGAGTCAGGACTGAATGTGCTAATCAACAGAGAAGGCAGGCATCCCAAGCACTTGGCTTAGAGCCGAGCTCACCTGACACCATCAGTCCAGGACGTAACTCCTGATGAGAATTACATAAACCAGTACATGCTTTGGAAAGGTTTCTTTGACACAAGTGCAAAGGATGAGAGGCCCTCATGCTAGCCCTTTTAGGGTGAAGACTGGGCCACTGCCTTTCACTCTGATTCCTCTGGCCTTCAAGGAGGCTTAATACAATGTTCTGAGACCAGCAGGCCCAGCAAATGCTAACTACTACTCTGTTTTGCCTCCTGTCTCTTCCTCCTCTCAGTCAAGGAATTACACACAGCAGTGGTGATCCAGAGTCCCCAAGACACCATTGGCCATCAACAAAAAACTGAGCAACACTACCTTCTCATCACCTACCAACATCTCCAGTCCAAGAGCCACCCTCTGCTGACCCACCTCAGAGGAGGCAGCTAGCTAGTAAAAACTGAGCAACACTACCTTCTCATCACCTACCAACATCTCCAGTCCAAGAGCCACCCTCTGCTGACCCACCTCAGAGGAGGCAGCTAGCTAGGAATAAAATGTGACGTCTTCCTGGAAAGAATCAAGAGACTGGTCAACTCTGTGAGACTGGGATGAGGGGAAGGGTGCGGGAGGACTCATGCAGGGGATAGAGAGGGTGGAAGAAGAAAGTGGAGGGTAGTTCAATGCTTCTCTAGGCATAGCCAATGGGAGAACTTGGCTTTGGCCCCCACAAGTCTACAGCTCCACTCCTGGCCCTTATTTAGCAACAATAGGTCTGTCAGGGTCAGGATTCTCAGTGGAGGCATTGCCCCTTCCCACTACCAGATTACTGAGATACAGCTGGGGAAGGAGGGGCTGCATCACACCAGAGCAGGCCTGAGGCAGCAGAGGGCACAGGCAGCAGGCAGAGCCCCATGCCCACTGTAACGCCTGGCCCACAGTGCCCACTCACTGGGCACTCAGTGCCCACTTAGCCGCTGAATGGATGATGGGAAGCAGGGATGGTGAAAAGGGCTCAGAGGATAGGGGGCTGAATTTGCAGGCACAGGACATCTGACCTGGGGATGGGGAGAGGGACCTGCTTGCAAAAATCTACAGGCCTCTTCCTTGGGTCTCAGAGACAGCCAACAGGCTCTGAAGGCCCTAGGTATCCCCCTCACTGCTTCCTGAAGCTAGCACCCAGGACCTCCAGCCCTGCCCCCTTCTCCCTTGGACTGGTATGGGGTTGGGGGTTAGGGCGCCATGCCTGAGGCCTTTCACTGTAGGTCAAACGGCACTGCCTTTGGGTTAGACTGAAGGGGCTGCAGTGCGGTGTTTCCTGAGGAGAGCGGCTGGGGAAGGTATGCGGGGACACGGACGGGAATATGAAGGAGGGAAGGGCCCTTAGAGATACAGTGAGAGACAGGGCGAGTGAGCTTCTGGGAGCTGCCCCTCAGAAGCCAGAAAAGCAGGGCATGTTATCAGGACTTAGACCTGGGGAAGAGACCTCGGGTATTAAGAAACAGGCTGAGATGCAGAGGGGCCACCAGCAACCTGCCCACTCACAGGACACTTTTTTTTTTAACATTAAGTGCAGTTTATTGAATAACAATGTAAACTTTGACATCTGGTGACCTACATAGAGCAGATGGGCTATATCTGGCCTGGATGGACTTCTGTGCCCCTGCCAGAACCACCTTGACCCCAGTTAACCACGCATGAGAATGTGGAGACAGCACAACCTCCTTCTTTCCCCTTGTTCCCCTGCCAGCTAGTCACCTGGTTCTGTCATCATTGCCCTCTCTATCCATCCAACTTCAAATTCAGCTTTCCCACCACCTAAGCTCATCTTCCCATCTGTCTGAGTGATAAAAACCATCACCTCCTTTAGGGAGCAACTACCTTTCCTGCTCACCTCCACTCAGAGCCCAATGAACCTGGGGTATTCTAGGGCCTAGCTTCATCTGAGTGACAGCAAAGAGGAGAGGATCTAGACCAGTCCCTACTCATGTGCAGCTCCATACTGTCAATGCCCAAAGGAAAACAGAGGCCTCTGGAGGACGCGGGCCCTTTGGTTGGATACTGAGTTTCAGCTCTGCAGGCTTCCTGGGAGGAACAGCTGGGCCAACCACTTGACCTGCCTGTGTCCACTGTCATGGGCTTAGGGTTGGCAGTTCACCACCAGCCAAAAGCCCTCCTTCAATAAACATCTTTTAAAATTACTCTGGCTTTGTCTATTTTTCCTTATGTAGGCCAAGGACGGTGCCAGGTGCCCCCCAACTCTCCCCTACAGCTTTGGCTTGTGATGTGAAGAGAACAGAAAGACCTGTTTTATGGAGAGAAGCTTCAGCCGGAGAATAGCTCTGTCTTCCTAGGAACAGGGACAGTCTTTAACAGGAAGGATACAAAGCCAAAGGGCCCTGGCCAATCTTGCTGTCGATGGGCGGGGGACAAGTTACCAGGGGAGAAACAGACCATCACCATCACTTTGTCACACAACCAAAGCACGGGGCACAGGAGCGTATCCACAGACCTCTAAACAGCCTTGGAGATAGCACTGGAGGTCCCTCAAGTCACTTCCTCACCACTGGGTGAAGAACTTGAGAAGGATACATACTTTAAAAGACAGATAAAATCAAAGCTTTCTCTGCATTCAAGCAGGAGGAAGGCCAGCCCGAGGAGGTGGGCAACCACAGTGCTCGGCACTGAAAGGGCAGGTGCCACTCCAGGGACTCTAAGGCAGCTCTGAGAAAACCTCGGGTCAGCCTTTCCTCAAGGCAGACCAAGGGAGAAATCTGGTGCTGGCCCCTAGAAGAATCAGGCTTCCATTCCCGTGAGATCACAGATGTGAGTATGTGTGTGTGTTAACTTCCACAGAGCTTCCTGTGTAGAGAGAGGTATGATGAAGCAGGGCTTTTCCTTTGGCAAAGTCACTATAGTCTTTCCTTGGGCACCAGGGAGTTGCGGGAGATACAGACCAGGCTGTCAGGGGCCTGGAATTCAGGACAGCAGACAGGTCATGGTGGGTGAGGAATCAGCAAGTGGGGCACTGATGTGTTTCCCCGGCAGTCCACATATTCATAGCTCTGGAAGACGAGCTGCTCTGAATGGCTCATGTAGGAACAGACCAGTGTGCCCCTGGAAAGGAAGCGGGCTTTAGTGTTGTGCCTGGGAGAAGAGCGCTCTGGCCCTGCTCTGCTGTGTGGGGAGGGTTGGATCCTTCAGACACCCCCACCTTCCTTCTGCTCCCCATTCTGCTAAGGCCCCTGGGACAGTGGCCCCACCTGCATTTCAGACAGCTTTGTGGCTGGCACACCACAGCCAATGCAGGAGAGGTAGGACCTAGAGAAGGGGCTGAGCCTGCTGTGCCCAAGAGCCAACAAAGACTCCTAAGGGCAACTTGGATGACTCGTCCTATGAGGTGCAGCTGAGCAGAGACTGGAGTCAGAAGCAGGAGGGGCACACCAGGGCTCCAAGCCCTACTTACTGGATGTGCAATAGCACATGGTGCACTTTGATTTTCAGCCAGGAACAGATTTTGCTGAGAGAGAGAGAGAACACATAACCATGTTTCACACTGAACAACCTGTAAGAAAACTCAGAGACCTTCAGGGCCCGAGCCTCCACAGCACCTTTCCATTGGAAGTGGCCCCAATGTCCCTCCCCTCCCCTCCCCTCTCCCTTTGCCTAAGGGGAGGACGTGACTCTTGCTGTAATGTCACTCACTCACCCCTCACTGGTTTGGCCCAGGCCCAGGCACATGCCAGCCCCTCCCTCGGCAGAAAACAAGATAGTTCTTCCTCAGTGACTCAGGCTAAAGTTTTTAAGCCCAAGGTCATATATTATAAGGATTAACCAAATTTAAGCCTGTTTTTCATTCTACTCTAGGTCCAAACAGACAGAGGCTAGGGACCCTGAACCCTTGCACACTGTAGTCTTGGTAACAAGATTGCAGGCCAAATGCTGGCTGCAGGGTTTGCTAAGCAATCAGGAAACCTGCTGGGGATTAAAACTGGGTTTCCAGCCAGGAAAGCTACAGGAGAAGAGATCAGGGGATACTCACTATGTGTTTTCATCCCATATCTTGTTTGCTACTGTGTAGAATATCTGTCAACCAAAGGAGCATCGGGTTAGCCCCAACTCTGGCTGCCCCCTTCCACACACAACCACACTCCACACAGGAGCAAGGAGTCACCTGTTCACTGGCCAAAGGACCAATGGGTAGGAAGAGGCTGTTGGAGACCTGCCCCACCACAAGGGACAGATGTAGGACCTCAGTGCTCAGCTGGGTCACGGTGATGGGGTAGTAGTTGCTATTGGAGATGTTCAAGATATTCTGGGGATGCAGATCAGGAAAGGGAGGGGTGAGGGTGGCCAACCTTGGAAAAGAGAAGTCAGACAGTTTCAAAAAAACCCGGCCTGACTAAGCCCACCCCCAGTATGGGTTTACTGAGAACCAGTGCCAGGAGCTCTTCAGAGGGATTCTCAATGGCAAGGAGTCACCTTTAACTAAGACATCCAGCAGGCTCCAGAGCCAGTGTCATCCTGCGGGACTTCTTACATTCAGTCCTGCCCACCCAGGGTCTGAAGCATGTCACTTTACTGCACTATGACTTACTTCTCTGGTCCCAGTTCTGACCCCTCCCTGTACGGAGTCCCAATCCTATTCAATGTCATGACGCTCATGGCCGTCCCTGCTTCTCCCTCTGGCTGCCGGAAGATACCTGGCCCCCCACGCCCAGAGTCACCATGTTGGACAAGGGCTACATAGAAGTGCTGCTGTACAGGTGGGGCTGGAGCCCTGGGACATGGGCACCCACCCACCGTTATGTTGAGGTGGATATCAGCCTCATCAAAGGCCACCGAGGAGGAGTTGAGGCCCGCAGGCTGCACGGCGACGGACCGGGGAAACAGGAAAAAGACGATGAGGGAGGAGGTCATCAGGCAGACAAGCACTGCCAGGAACACAAAGAGCTTCCTGTGGGAAAACAGGAACCAGAGTAGAGGAATGGAGAAGTCTGAACACCAAGCAAACATGGGCAGGGTGTGTTCAGACACTCCTCTCCATATACAAGGCTCTCCTCTGCGTGCCCCCCTCACAACTGCACTTCTGGCTCCCCAGATGTGCAGGACCAGCTGAGGCTCAGCTGTGGTCCAGAGCGGGTAGGAGCACAGGATTGGGAGGCAGCAGTCTGGTTTCCATTCCCAGCTCTCTCTACCCACTGGCCCAGTAACTCTAAGCAACCCATTTAACCTCCCTATGCCTCAGTTTCCTTGTCTGTAAGATGGAGATAATTATATCTACCTCATAGAATTTGATGTGAGCTAATGCATGAAAAAGCACTGATCCCAGGTCCTGGCACAGAGCAAAACCTCAACAAATGCTAGCTAGTCTTGCCGGGATAAGTATGTCCTCATGAATCTTGTGAGTCCTGAATTTTAACATTAATATTCAGAATAGGACATCCTCTGTCCATCTAATTTAAAGTTGAGATACGTGTCAAAGAGACAGCACCTTGTTGGTATCTTAAGAGGGGCATTGACAGAGTTAGATTCAGGTGTAGCAATCAAAGAGGGCTGAGTGGTGGCCCCCAGATTGAAGCTGAGGACCTTGGGAGGGGATTGCAGGAATTCATGTCAAAGGGACCCAGATGACGCACAGGGTCACGCCCCCCACCAGTGAAACCAGGGCTGCCTTTAAAGTTCTGAAGTATTTCAGAACAGGGTGCAGTTGGTTTTCCATCTCTACTGGGAAAAGAACAGCCGCAGCAAGAAAAGCTCTTCAGAAAAATAACTTCCCCAAACCAATTGCAGCCAAAGCCACTCCCTCCCTCATGGAAGGACTTGTAAGAGTCAGAGGTGATGTCTGTCTCCAAAAGGGAGCCATGATTCTTGGAAGCAGTAATACTCAGGAGAGGGACACCAAGTGGACTTAGGCGGCATCTACTGTACCCCAGGCTTCTTAAACCAGGAAAATCCTGGGAAACAGGGAGCTAGTACATATGAGCTCAGGCTTTCTGAGGGGGAGAACCAGTGGAGAAAAGGGGACAAAGAACAGCCCCCAGGGGTGATGGCCTGTGGAGCTGGGGTAGGAGGAGGGGCTTACGTGTGCCTGGGCTTCAGCCGCTGGTCCCCGTAAGGAATGAGGGCCACCAGCTGCCTCTCCAGCTCTGTAGAGAGAAGGAAGGTGAACGAGAGGGCCAAGATGTATCCATGATAAATGTTTCCTGTGCCAGCCTCCCAGAAGCACCCCTCCACCCCACAGAGCAACGTCAGAAGCATGCCGCGGCTGCCCCAGAGCAGGACTGGGAGTGCTGGGCTCTGGTGCTCCTGAAGCTGCCAGCTCAGCTTTGCCATCTCTAGAATGGAAGACTTTCCTGAATAGGTGTGAAGAAACTCTGCAAGTCACCAGCAAATCAGAGAAGCCCAGCTTCTATGAGAGGTCATTTGTAACTTCCTGAATCCTAAGGCAGTGTTGCTAAGGGAGGACAGAGGCTGGAAACCCCCTGGGGCTGAAGAGTACAACCAGGGGAAGAGGGGGTCTCTGCAGTGAGCCCAGGAAGAGTTAGCATCTTCCTAGCCGGCCTGAAACTGGGGGACCCCATTCAAGGAGACTCAGAGGGGCCTGGCCCAGGGCCAGCTAGCTGCTAAGAGCTTTTCCTAGATTCCAGGTTGTTTCCAGAGCCTTGAGCAACTCACCTCGAGGGATCTCCCCACTGCCCTGGCAGGTGGGACAGGTCACAAAGCTGGCACCAGCAGCCCCTTTACAAGGCACACAGGAACAAGTCTTGCTGCTATGGGTGCTGGAGTAGGTGGCAGCCTTGCTGCCAATGGCTGAGTCAGGGGGCAGGATCGCCTTGTTCTCATCCTCCCCAGAGCTCAGCTGGGAGAACGTCTCACCCATTTTTCACTAGTGAGAAAAGAACAGTTCAGTGCTAAGCTTATTAGCAGGGACAATGGCGGTCATTCTGGTTTTAAGTTCTGAAGATTGCCACGGAGACCCACCACAATTTCAGCAAGCTCAAGCCTAAGGAAATTAGGGTGTGGAAAACTGAGGAGTTACATAGGACTCAGAGACCAAAAATCTCAATGAATTTCAACTCCTTTCATGATTGTAGAGCATCCTACAAGGGGGAAAAGAAAAGCAGAAGTTCTTTCACGCTAAGGGACTGGTAGAGCGCTTATTTTTGGGGGAAAGTTGCTGAGCTGTCATTCACTTCAAAAGAAGGAAGCTGGACAGAGCGGGGAAGGGGGGTTGCGGGGTGGATGGGTGGGTCAGGTTCGCGGCAGTCCAGAGTCCCTAATCCTTTGGAACAGACTGAAAAGATCTCTAGAGCATCCAGGCGGAAATGCCTGCCTGAGCTTTTCCTAGATTCTGAAGGGGTGTGGAAGCAAAGATTCCATTCCTGAGGCCCCAGCAGGGGCTGCCTTAATAGGAAGGTGGGGATTCTTTGAAACAACAAAGAAGGTTAGACTGATCACAGGTGTGGCGAAGAAACTTGAAGAGTCTTGGAGGGGAGCATAAACCTCTTCCTCACTGCTCTGAGGTAGGGAGCTAGGAAAGAATGCCTGCGGGAGGGTGGTAGCAACGTCAGTACCTGTCCTTCCCTAGGAACGGTCAAGTCTAAATCCACATTCTTCCCAAAAGGCTCAAGAGTGGTAGCAGGAGTGGGCAAGATGAGCGTGCAGGCCTTCCTGGGCTGAGATAAATTGAGGCTCACCTGGTTCAGGGCTGAGATCCCTGGAATGCGCCTTTGGGTATAAGGGCTTGTAGAGCACGGTGGCCAGAAGGGCCACGGGCTGGGGCCGACCCAGGAACCGGCCCCCTCCAGCAAAGTCCTGGAGGAGCGAATGCGCCGCGTTGCAGGGTGGAGAGCAGCGGCCCTGGCCTACCCCGAGGGCCAAGTTGCTTCCCGTCATACTGGGCCTTGGCCCGGGGCTGGGAACGGGAGCGGATGAAGAGGCTGGGATTTCATCGAGGGAGAAATTCAAGTCCCACCACTTGAGGCCGTTAGCCGAGCCTTGGTACCGGGTCTGTGTTGGGCTAGGAGGCGGTACAGAAGGTGCCTTGGCCCTTGCTTCCCAAAGGTAAATAAGGAGTGTCCCGGGAGCGTCTTACCCAACTCCCGAGCGACGGCAGGACGCATTCAGCTGCTAGCGGAAGCGTAAGTGTGGGACCAGGGGGCTTAGCCGCAGGCTTTGACTCGGCGCCTAGGGACGCTCCGCTCCGCCCCCTTCCTCCCAGGGTCCCGCCCCCTGCGCACGTTGGCCAGAGATGATGTCGGCTCTCCAAAGGTTACCCGAGATCCCGACGCTCTTCCGCAAGGACCAGCCATTCCAGGTAGAAGTTTCAAAGAACCTTTATTTTGCCATTCCTTAATTGGTTATCTACAAGTACAGTGGACGTATGAGCGGACCCCAGGGCCCTCCTGGGCCCCTACAATACGACCCTGACGGTCAAGACAGGTCCTGCCCGAAATCAGCCCAATTAACAACACACACCCTGCTGCTCAGCCTCTACCCAGAAGCCCCGATAGAAAACGTTTTAGATACTGAAACAGCCTGGCTGGCTTGCAGTGTGAATCCTGCCTTAGTATCACTCGAGTTGTACTGTAAATAAACACCATAGCTAATAACTGATTTTAAAAACCACGACTCATTATAAATACCAACCAGGTTAAATAATACTATTTTACTATCCTCCCCCCTTATGGCTGGGGTCAGGTTCTTTTTCTTTGGAAGTCATTTTCGTGAATAACATCTTTTAGTGTTTTTGTTACCTCTCTCTTCACCAAGTGTTCCCAAGACTCCTTTCTATACACAGTGAGGACCTGGGTTCCTGGAAATAAGCTCTTTCCCACTCATCCTGGGGTTAAACCCAAATTTTTTCAGTGAGTTTGCTCCCCCTCAAGGTTTACAGCCTTTTCTTCCTGTTCTAGGCTCTCTAGCGCTAGATACCTTTGAACAGATTCCAGGCATTCAAGAAGTCATCAGGATTCTCTGTCCTACTCACTCAGCTGCCTGCCCTGAACCTTTTAGTGAGATTAACACAGGAGCCTGCCTTTCACTCTTCACAGGTTTCTATTTCCCCCACTCTACTGTAAATAAGATCTGCTCTGACATCAAGAAAAATAAGAGAGTAACGTTGAATTTATTTTCCCTTTAATAGAAGCGTTCCTTCTCCCTAGGATTAGCACACTACCTGAATTTTTTTCCTTAAATAAAAGGAATGTATGCTAAATGACTACATTAGACACTGCTCAATAGGTGCTGGGGGGGTTAATTTATAATTAGCACACTCTCCCCTCCCTTCCCTTAAGTGCAGAGGCCCAGAAGATGGATATTCTTCACATCAATGGAGTTTTTAGAAAATTAACAGTGCCAACTACTAAGTCTTGTAGGGAAATGACTTTCTCCTTGAGAAAGGAAGAGTAATAACATTACTATCATGCTTTAGATGTCATTTCAAAACCACACACTATGAAGCTTGGGGTAGGTTAGAAAATTATGAGTAGTTCTTGAAAACAACTTCCAAGATACATTTTTTAAACTGACAATTAACAGATATCCCCAGAAAAACATCTACATTAACCAAAGAAAAATACTCCACTACAAGCAGTAAGAAAAATGGTGCTATAGGAAGTTCAAGTTATACTCTTTAATGCACTAAAAAGTAGAAAGTTTTAGCCAAATCAATTGAAAAACTATCTTCCTACAACTCATCCAATGGCTAAAGTGAAATTTTAACTCTGGTCTTTCATTTGCTCCCCCACCCCCCTACCAAAAAAACTGTAATACAGATACTCGCTGTCCTGATAATTCAATGATGGGCTCTACATAGACTCATTAGATTAAAAATAAGCGAGGGCTTCTACCCTACATCCCGACAGAATAAAGATCGTATCTGAGCAGCAGGCAAAGTTATTTAATACAAGGTCACTCTTCAATAGCGGTGGCTGTACCAGTCGTTGTTGTTGACCTGCAGGAGTTCTGTCACAACCTGCAGGATGTTGTAATCGTGTTTCTTCAGGAGCCTTAGGTTCAGCTGCCTGTCACAGAATCCCATTTCAAAAAGATGGGCCATTAGGGCTGCTGTCTGATCTTCAGAAACTACTGGCTGTGTAGAGTCAAGAAAAGACATTTTCTGTGTAATTTATGTGTTTATCTTTTCACATTAATCTTTCCAGATTTATTTAAAATAATAGGGAATTAGACGCAACAGCATGGTACTCCTGTCTACTTGATACTAGTGGGTCTTCTGAGGGCGTAAGGACTCTAAGGCCCTGCTTCGGATTAGGTAGGTTTGTACCCGCAACCCAGCAACTAATGAATTGTCCTTAGAACTAGGAAGAGAATGCTGCAGCGGGCCATTAAAAGGAAGCATTCTCTGGCCGGACAAAGAGAGATGCAAGCAAGCTTAGGAAACCCTGTGAAGATAAAGGTGATCATGATGATGGGGCAAGCAGAGCAAGAGAAGAGATTGTTCCTGGAAGACAGCATGGGAGATTTAGTCAGATATGCAAAGGAGATGAACAAAAAATTGCTTGGGAAATTATACGTTGGGCCACCTTCTTGGCATTTTTAAGAAATTTTTTTTAAAGAACAGAAGCAATCCAGGTAAGAGGGAGCTAACACTGATTTACCCTGCTCTTTGGGCCAAACCCTGTGGTGGAGACATTACCTTCCTAAATTCTCCTAATACAGAGAATATGCTAACGCTTAACATTTACTTACAAACTGTGCTATCAGTTCTCTTACACATGAAAATGGAAATACAGAATACCACCTGTTTTGCAGGGTTATTCAGAGGATTAAGATGACAAAGAATCTAAGTATGTTGAGCACAGTCTCTGGCATTACTCTCTCTGCTTAATTCCACTGTTCCCTTCTTCCCTCTTATTTCAAAATAAATTACCCATCCTCCTTTCCAGGTTAGTCCTGCAACATGTACTTTGCTTTGTATCTCATCACCTCTTGCCACCTCAGGAAACCTTTTCTATTAATTATCCTGTCTCTTCTTGATTGTTAACCTCCTTCACTATTGGCTCGCCCATCTTTAAAAACATCTCCCTCTGCCATGTGTATCCAGCCTTCACTCTCTTTCCCCTTTGCAGTCTAGTTACTGGGAAGTGATGCAGACCTGCACCCTCCACGTCCTTCCACCTGTCACGCTTCTCTGCAGCATCTGAGCTGCTGGCCATGTCCTCCTCATTAAAAGTTCCAGCAGAGAACTCCCTCCTCATTTTCCTCCTAGTTCTCAGTCTTCTTTGCAAGGTCTGCCCTCTTTCCAGGATCCTTAAAGGCTGCTTCTTGCTTTATCCACTCTTCAGGGAAAAATCTCATTCAATCATGTGGCTCCTGCTATAACCTATACACAAGTGATTTTATCTCCAGGCCAAATCTCCCCTCTGTGATCCAGATGCACACAGTGACTGCACTCTGGATAATTTTTCCCAGTTGTGCTGCAAATTCAACACTATTCTTTTTCCTTTTCCTCCTGCTCAAATATGTCCTTTCTATGTATCCTCTCTTAATGAATGGTACTATTGATTACCTAAGCCAAAACTTGGGATTTATCCTTTTTAGCCATTCAATCATGTTCTCCAAGTCCTGCCATTTCTCTATTTTAATTCTACCCTACTTTTCCTCCTACACATGGATTCTCAAATGGATTTCTTTACTGGCTCTACCAGCACCCACACTATAGTGGAGTTCTCTTATTAAGAACAAATCTGATGTTAATTACTTCCCTAAAACTCTTCAGTGACTCCTCCCACTAGCCTTAAAATTGAAACCACTTAACACAGCATCTTTGGTCTTTCTCACTCTTCTGAGCCTATATTCATCAACCAGGCTCACACTTCCCAGTCTTTTTACTGGCTACTTTCTGTCTGCGATGCCCTTCCTAGCACTCTTTCCTGGTGAACACTTAGTTTGTCTTTAGGACTCGTTTGCACATCATCTACTAGGAAGCTTTCCCTGGCCCAACCCCAGGGCCCACACAGGCTGAGGTGTCCTAACTGTCTGAGAACACTGGCACAGAACCTCACACTGTACCCTAAAATGTCTGTTTACCTCACTTGTTTCCCACCATCTTTGGGCAGGAACTGGTGTCTTACTCATCTTAAAGTGCCAGCACCCCACACATAGTAGGTCGTCAACAAACGAGATCTTCTTCCTTTCCTCCCTTAACTGGGCTAAAATCATCCAGCTAGAAAGTGGGGGAACAGTGTGTTAACCAAAAACTAAACCTAAAGGCTCATGCTTTCTACAACACTGTGCTACCCTCCAACCAAGAGAGATGCCATCACTTTCACTGATGACTCATATCTGGGTCAGGAAAGTAAAACAAACTTACCTGTGCAATAACTGGTGGCCCAGCAAATAAGGCCTTATATGCAGAGGTAGCGACAGACAGAGCCCCCTTCACCAGTCCTCCAGCAATGCTGCTCCCATGGTGGTGGTGCCTGTGCAGGAAAACCATATTATCTCCCCAAAGAAATGCAAACCATTATCTGCCTACAAGATAATCTGGGCACTAACCCTTGGAAAAAAAATGAGATTTCCTTGAGAAAAACATTAGATGTAAAAAGAGAACGTGAACGTTTTCTTGCCAGTTTTATAGTTAAAAATCTTGGTTTAATGGAGGGTTTAATTCTGCTGCTGCAAGATATGGGCACTGTAGAAAACACACCACTCTGGTTAGCACCAGCTCTCAGTCCCAGGTGAAAACTGATGTGGTCAAGGGCACAATGGGGTATTTGCAGTCTGTCTGCTCAATCATCTTAGAGGCAACAACTCCCAAAGGAAATGTGATTTTATGGACCCTACAGGAAGGTGGCCACTTTGACACTGCTCTGAGATGACTGGGAGCAGAGAGGCAGGTGTGTCTAAGACAGTTACTAAGATGCACAGTGGGCTTGACCTTCCTGCCTTCTCCTCTGGTATGAAGGGTGAGTTGAATTTGAGGGCACTTCCTTCTAGTTTGGAATGCGAATATTCTTAAACACCTTTAAGCCCTCTGTTCAGTTGCAAACAAGCTTTATAGAAGTATGAACAAGAAGGAATGATGGCTCTCCTCTGCTCTCTGGAGGTGGCACATCCCTAGAGGCTCATTTAACCAAAGCAATACTAGAATATCCACCTGCTTCTGAAGCAGAGGCTGCGCAAGGTCCAGTTACCTTGAGTAGTCATAGCTCTTCTGTCTGCTGTTTGTAAGTCCTGATGAGCCTCTGGGCTCTAAAAGCAAAAGACTGTTGGTTAGATGCAGCATCCATAAGCGCCTAGTGTTTCATAACTCACAGCAAGGCTACTTTTGAGGCAGGTGGTGTTTAAAGTTTTTTTGTAATGTTTGGAAATTTTGCAGGTGATTTCATAAGAAGAAACTGTCTAGAATGCAATGCAAGGTGACTTATTTACTGAATCAGAAAAATTAATTCTGTAATCCTATCACACTGATTTATTAGTTCTTAAGTACTTTCAAGATTTTTTTTGAGGAAGAGTGGGAAGTGACTGTAAGGGTTCACTCACAACTTCAAGGTGCTGTTCTCCTTATTTTATAGATAAGGAAACAGACCTGCAGGTGTTACACACCTGCTGAACCAGTGCAAGATCAGAGTGAGGAAAGGTGGCTGGGGCTCGAACCTAGACTGGTCTGGCTCCAAAGCCTGTGTTCTTTCCACTATAACACAATGCTAACCTCTATGAGGTCTCATTTAATACACATCAGGCTAGAAAATATAAAAAAGAGAAAAAAAAAAGAGTATGAGGGAAGAGTACAGAAAGAGTGAATGAAAGGGCAGTTTCACGTTTCTAAAAACTGCCAAGAATCACAAAGACAGAGTGTATTGTATACTTATACCTGGTTTCCATTAGAAAGGAGCACAGAGAAAGAGAGAAAGCCCAGGCTGGCCATTACCTCCTCTGAGCTGATCGGGGACTGAAGAAACTTCTGGTATGATAACTGGTAAATTCACTCCTGGGGAACCAAGATGCTGTACACAAGGAGGGCTCCTTTCAGAAAGACAAAATATCAAAAGTAAGTTGAAAAGGCACCCAGGGTAACAGTGGAGAAACAGTAAACAGCACAGTAGTGGCAAATTCTCTACAAAGACTTCACAATTCTGATCCAGTTCACTTGTCTATATTTAGGGGTCAGGTGAGAAGGGGCCATTCTGCCTCTGGTTTTCCTCTTCACCCACAGTCAAGTAGAAAGACTGGCCTCAGTCTGGTCACTTCCCCTTGTATCAAGTGGTACTGATAAAGAGATATAACTAGCTCCTTGGGAGAATAAGGTTTAAATTATAGTCAAGACTCCACCATTTTCCACACTATGAGAGAGCAATGACATAGATAGATCCAGGAGAGGAAAAAAAAATTTCTATCTGGTTTTATAGTATTTTTTTTCCATACTAAACTTTGTAATTACATTATGTGTGGGTTAATATGAGAATGAGTTTTTGCTGCTTTTATTCATGAGTTAATAGAACAGGAAGGCAAGACCTAGGGATGTTTGTGTTTAAAAACTGGCTCTCAATGATCAAAACATAAGTAGATGGATTATACTCAGATAATGAAGGTTACCTAAGTATTTCTTTAAATCGAGAATCCACAAATACTGGGAAGTACAAGTTTTATTCATTTAAATTCAGACTTTACTAAGGGAAATAGAGTCTTCCCATTCTGAAAAAAATACAGATTTTGAGATGAAGTTGATTCCTCTTTATTTCACCTTTGAAGAACAGCCCAGCTGAGAGTATGTGGATGGTACCTGGGCAGCTGTGCTGGTGGCCCCACCACCTCTGGGGTTAGGGGCACTGTATCCAGAGTCTGTGAAGTCATGAGGATATCATTGATGCTGTACCCCTGTGGCTGGCTCTCCCCTTCCGGGGGTCTCTCCTCAGCCTCAACCCCAGGATTGCCTTCAGCCCCTTGCTCTGGGCCTGGCTGTGAGAGCGCAGAGCTGTACATGGAGTCCCCCAGGGGGCGGCTGGTGTCAAAGCACTCAGGCAGGATGATGATGTAATCCTCTGAGGAAGCAGAGGACTGGCTCTGAACTTCATCTTTGAACTCCTCTTCCTCCTCCTCCATGACAGCTCTTTCCTCAGCGATATGGACAACCTCCTCCCTCAGGTCTCCAAGTGGTCCCTCTTCAGGCGAGGCAAATTTCACTGAAGAATGAAAGCAACCGATTTTAGGATATAAGCTCCGAGCAGCCCCTGGTGCTACCCTTAGCTGGTAAAGCCTTGTGGGTCATAAGCTACAATGATGAAATCCAGAGGAGAGGGGTGGACCAGAGGGAAGGGCTGCTGCTGGAACCACAGTCTTGGCCAAATTCTAAGTCTGAAGCCTACACAAGGCCAGATAGCACCGAAGCTCACAAAAACAAGGTAGGCAGAAACATCCAGGCTTCTGAGAAGCAATGTGAATCTTAAAACAAGAGGCCCTATATCCCTTTTCCTCTTCATGTGATACTTAATACTGAGACAGAGTTAAAATCAGAACTAATATACTAGCTAACAGTGCTGCAGAAAGAAAATGTGAGCTGGTGAGTACTGCAGGGATGTGCCCCAGTTCTCCTCCTCTTTGCAAAGTAACAACTACATGCGTACGTTGGATACACTGGGTTGGTTCCAGACTGCTGCAATGGAGACACTACAGCCAACAGAGCAAGTCAAATGAATTTCTGAGTTACCGGTGCTTATATAGAAAGTTATATTTATACTCTACTGTAGTTCATTTAGTACGTATGTGACAGCATTATGTCAAAAAAATATACATATTTTAATTAAAAAATACTTGATTGCTAAAAAATGCTAACCATCATCTGAGCTTTCAGTGAGCTGAGTCTGAATTCTTTTGCTGGTGTAGTCCTGCCTTTATGTTGATGGCTGCTAATTGACCAGGGTGGTAGTGGCCAAAGTTTGTGGTAACTTCTTAAAATGAGGTAACAGTGAACTCTGCTGCATCAATGGACTCTTCTGATCACATTTCTCTATGCATGTGGCATGTGATGCTGTTTAATAGCATTTTACCCACAACAGAACTTCTTTCAAACCGGAGTCTCCAACCCAGCTGCTACTCTATCAACTAAGTTTATGTAACATCAAAGATCACCAATCACAGAACACCTTAACAAGTACAATATTGATGCAAAAGTTTGAAACACTCCAAGAATTATCAAAATGAGACAGAGATATGAAATGAGCAAATGCTGTTGAAAAATGGCACTGACACGCTTGCTTAGCACAGGGTTGCCACAAACTTTCAATTTGTAAAAAAACACAGTATCTCCAAGTGCAGTAAAGCAAAGCTTAATGAAATAGAGATACTTGTAGTCATGGTAGAAAACTGGCAAAACGTGGATGAGGAAAAGAAAAAACGAAATTTAAAAAGTACTTATAATCCAGCAGAGATAACTCCTAGCAACATTTTGGTATAAGTCCTTCCAGATTTTTGTGTTACACATTTGTATACAAGTATGGAGAAAAAAAATATATGTATTTTAAAGAAAAATAAGACAAACATATTTAGCGTCATAGGTCAAATTTCATTATAATAAACAAGAGATTTTCGCATATTATTTTTATGCACTAGAATTTCAATTTTTGGATAATTCTTGGAATACATAGCATTGGTTCTACCATACCAAGGGATCTGATATCTAGAAATTTCTGCTCTAAGGGATTTTATTAGAGCATAATTTAACTTTGAAAAATTTAGCTTGATACTCCTGATTCTGCCCACACTTCCTGGACTATTGCCCTTGGAGACAGGAGACAACTTAGCTGCCAGTGGGGGGTCCCTGCTAAGGAGCGCTGTCCTTACTGCAGAGTTCAGGCAGCACAGCTGGTTGCCACTTCTCTGGGGCGTGCAGCTGTATTGCTGCCAGGAGAACTGAGTTATGGTGGCTGCTCTGCTCCTGATGCTAGAATTAAAACGGTCAGGTAGAGTTTGTATAGAGCAAAGAAACAACCATGATCCAAACTCTAACAAAGACCACTCTACCTCCAGTCTCAGTGAAGAAGACAATTCTACCTACTCAGGTCTGACAATCATAACTGCTAAGTGGGGGGATTCAGGGACACTCACTGTGCAAGGACTTCTGTCTGTAAGGTGGGTTGTGATCTGGAGCAGCGTCCAAGGTAAGAGATCGGATTACAGTCTCACACACGAACTGGGTCCCACTCAGGTCATCTTCTGTTTCTTCCACTGAAGCAGTGTTCTCAGGCTTCCTCGTTACTGACACTGTGCAATCTGGAAGACACGAACCTTGTCTGCACTTGGTGTTCAGGAGCCTTCTCTAGTCACGTACCCCTGCTGATACCACACCAAGGAATAGCTGCAATCTGTACCGTGTAAAGTGAGGAAACTTGAAAAAAATGCTAGAAAACCCATTCACATGATAAGGTAAGGTTAGCAGGGGTTATGTGTAAAAATAGTGGTATGGAAGGAAAGGATGCAAACACTTTACAAATTTTTAATCACTTACCAGGAAGTACTTTAAATCCTGCTCCTTCACTCTCTTCCTCTATCTGCCCCAAGCCTGGTTTCTCTATTAAAGGACTGTCATGTGGCAGTGGAGACATGCAGGGAGTCATATCTGGAGAATGAAGACAGAAGAAACATCAACCAAGAAAAAGCATCACATTGTCAACACTCAGTGTCCAAAAGCAGCAGCTCATAGGCTTCTTGCCTCCTGCAGGGCTAAAATAAACCCAGGTTATGTGTCAAGGCCTGTTGTAAAGATTTTTCCAGACCAGTAAGTGTGCAGCTATCTCAGATCAATGAATGCACGCAGGATCATAAACAGCTGTTTGGCCTGGAAGGCCACGGCCAAGACATGAACCATGAATGTAAAGGAACAAAGATATACAAGTGTCTAGAGAAAAATTGAGGGAAGAGTCCCTTTACGGTGGGGAAGCCTTGCGTAAACTTGCATCATTGCCTCTGACAGACAAGGGGAAAAGAAGGAAAACAGACCCACAGGTGCAGTTTTAGTATCACATATTGGGGAGAAATCCTTGCCTTCTGTTTCCTCAGAATAAAATAGTTAACTTCTAGAATCTAGGCTGTAGTACTTGTGTGCCTATTAATAAAACAAAGTGGATTGAGTGACATTCTTACCTACAGGGGTGTTGTGGGGCACTCTCTCCAACTCTTGGACGATGTTTATATCCAACAGCTCAAAAGAGAGCAGGTCCTAGAAAAAGTAGGCAATGTTAGGCTACTTGCAGTGCTCAGTGGAGCCATACTTTGTCTTGATGGGACTGGCAGGCCATGAAGCCCCACACCTTCTGGGATTCAACTCTGTTCTAACCTCAGTCAAGAGAAAACAAGAAGAGTTTTCTTCAACCAAATGTTCCAATAACCAGAAGTCAGGAAAGAGAGAAAAATGTATTGGGGTAAAGGTGAACCACATAGGCAGAAATAAAAGGCAACTAAAGGGAAGTTGTAGGGAAGCACGAGATTGAGTTTCCAAATCAAAGAGGAAGCATTTAGTTTGGAAACTTGTGTCCACAGGTCATCTCTCCTTGGCATTCAATGCTTCTGACTGGATCAAAGTGGGCATATTTCTAACTTCCTGGGCATTACCTATGGCTATACTACCTTTTCTTCAACAAGATAAGAACTCTTCCCCCCATGCTTTCTGTCCTTTGACCCTCCTCAAAGTGCTCAATTTCCCACCTGGGCAGTCAGGAGGTCCACGGATGGGATGTAGAGCTCCCTCTTGCTGGAGACATTTTTTGTCTTCTGTGGGATGCAGGTTCCTGTCCCTTCTGTCTGCTCAGCTGCTTCACTAAGCTGAATTTCTTCTTTAGCTGGAAGAAAAGCTTCCTATACAGACAAAAGCATTGGGCCAAGTTTTAGGCCCTTAACAGAACTCAAAAGGCAAGCTGCCAGTTGCCTCCCTAAAAACAAAAACAGTGCTGAACCTCAACACGTTTTAAAACTTTTTGTAATTTTAGATTGACAGAAAGTTACAAACACAGTACAGACAGTTGACTTATTACCCCCTTCATCTAGCTTCTCCTAATGACAACAGCTTAGACTACCCAGAGTAATCTAAGTCAACAGTCAAACCCACTAATATTAGGTGACTAAATTTAAGCAGTAAACATTCTGAACAAGTACCCAACTAATACAGGGAAGTTGCCTAAAAAAAATTCACCAGGTAACAACCAGTGCAAGGCTTCATTCATATTTAGGGAACACACGAGGGATATTCAAGAGGGATAATGTTAAGGAGCAAAGCCATCAGGCCAGGCCAGGTAGCCCTAGGTTCCCTTCTTATGCAGCAAAGAGGACGGTCATGTGTCACTAGAGATACAAAAGCACTGAGGGATGCCTGCACCAAGATCCTAGGGACACACTGACAGAGCCCCTGAGGACTAGACCCAATACAAGCGCACTGATGTGCTGGGGGAGTGGGAGGAAGCCAGCTTTTCTAGATTTTTGGAAGAATGATCAGCTGTGAGTGGGCTCTTTTAGTTTTAGTCACCCCTTTCAATGCTCACCTCTTGTTGGCAGGGAAGACCATCAGCTTTGCTTGAGCTGATCACACCCTTTTCAGGGTTATCAGGGCTCTCTGTTGGGGGGAAAGAATCCACTATGATGCTGCACCAGACACGAGGCCCAAACTGCTGGCCTTTATGAGAAAGACGCCAATGGGAAGTATATGTTCCCTCCAAGGCTGGGGCAATGAATTCCACAGACACAACTCCCACATGGCCGGCCTTTAGGCGGGGAACCAAAACATCTTTCTTTTCTGTAGAAGCCAAAGTCAGGTTTCCCCACATGAACTTAAGCTGAAAAGAACAGTGACAAGAGAAAGCAAGCTTGTTAGCTGAGACCTTGCCACTTCAAATCACTTCATCTTCACATTTCGTGGGAAAAGATACCTTTGTATCTGCACTCCACTTTACATTGCCTGTATTTTTCATCCTCCAGTGTTTGATAAACTTGGTCCCTGGCTGAAGGTGGGTTCCATCAGGCAAATTCTCATCCACAAATGCTGCACTGAGGGTTGGCATAACTGGGGCACAGGGCTGCAACGGGAGCCTGGACAGAAATTCAGAGACTTAGGTCACTTGCTGTTGGATACCATAGCCTGTAGATATCTCACACTGTGGTTCAAGAGGCTGATCGTGACTCTAAAGGACGTACTAATGCATTTGCAGGAAAAATAATACTAATTAGGAAGTTTTAAAAAACAGGGGACAGATCTGACTCCTGAGCTAAAAGGCAATGGTGAGGACAACTAAAAGGGTCCATAAATAAAACAACTAGAGGGTTAGGTCCTTAAAATATCTGCTCTTACTGCTTCAAATCCAGTCTGCCTCCAGTAATGAGAGGTCACACCTCAGAGTTCTGAACCTTACTGGTTTCTATCCTTCTGAAGGCAGCAACAAGGCAAGGGTTCAAAATAACCCCCAAACCACCCTTTAAGAATGCTAGGATCAGAGAATGGGAAGTCGTAAGGATTTGGGTGTTAGGGGCTACTAATAAACAAGAAGTTGACTGAAGTTCCAGGCCTGGAGGGCTGAATGTAGTCTTGGCTCCTGCCCTAGCCCTGGGCTTACATCAGGGTGTTAGACTGCAGCAGGCTCTCGGGTCTGCCCAAAGGGGACCTGGGGCTCTGGAGTCCATGGATCGAATTCCACAGATGAATCTTCCTGTGGAGCTTAAGTTGCCTTTTAAGTTCCTTGACCTCTGCTTTACGCTGTTTCTTTTCAGCTCGCAACCTTTGCTTTTCTGCTTTAAGGAAGTTCTTGTCGACCTGTTTCTGGAGCCTGTGTAATAATAAATGAAAGTCTTAAAGAACAAACCTCAAAACAAATCTTGAAGCTATTTTAAGCCACTTGTACTCCATCAGTGTTAGCTTCTAGTTTAGTTTCTTAATTTTTTTCTGTAGTTCTCATTTCATTAGCTTTGGATAATTGTCCCCAGCATTGCACATCAACTGGAAATGGGCAGGAATGAAGGAGACTATTTGTTAGTTTTGTGATCACAAGCTGTCACCAGAACGAAGAAGCAAGCAAAGAGCAAGCATCCCAGGCAGATACGGTTTTACCTGGCTTGTTCCAGAGCAGCAGGAAGACGAGGAGGAGAGAACCTTGAGTGAGAGAATGGTTCAGAGGGACCCACAACGGGTCTCCGCAACTTCAGCAGGACATGGTTGGGGTCATGGGCATATGGCCCCAATTCACACTCTTCACAGATATTATAGGATGGGCATAGGCTGTGGGGAAAAGATGGCACAGTGGAAAGTCCCTGAGGTAAGGAGGTATGAGACCAGACTTTCGTATTTGCTCCATTACCAGCTGTGTAGTAACCTGAGCATGTTTCCTGACCATGTCTCCATTTTCCTCATTAGTAAATCTACATCTATTTCAAAGGATGATTTATGGAAGGAAGCAAAATACAAAAGCATCAGGAACAAGAGGGAGACTATCCTTGGTGATCTAATTTTGTTTTAAGAAACATAATTTTGTCTGGCTCTGTTAACTCAAACGCATATCTGAACACAATCTGAATAGTTACCCTTCAAATAGTTATTTTTTCTCGTGGGTGAAGAATAGCTTGTTTCCAATGCTCAGAGATAAGAGTGCAGCCGATTTCCCCTTACCTACCCAGAATGCTAAGAAGGCCTGCTTTAAGGTGTACTAATTCTCCCCAAGATACCGCTTACCTGCACTGGTAACGCACACCAACAATTCTCCTTTGGCAGCTGCTGCAAGCAATGTGCCAGCTGAACTGGTTTTCTGGCAAAAACAGCGTTTCCTCTGAAATAGGCATTGAGACTTCTGAGGGACAGGAGCTTGGGGATGGGTTCTGGAGGACAAGCTTCTCATGCAATTTCTGTTCAAGCTTCTCAACCGTTTCTTTAACTACTTGCTCGCGGAACTAGAATACAAAGCAGAAGATGGGGAAAAATACTGGAAAAAATCAGTTCCAATATTGGAAAAGGCATGAAAATACCAAATAGACCTGAAACCTCACTGTCTCTGGCATAACAACTACTGAACAAATGGACAAAAACATAGCAAAGGGTTTGTTCCCTCCACAGCTAAACTGGTTCAAATACCAAGAAATCCTTTTGACGCATAAATTTCTAACTTTTTCCTTCTCATGCATGGAGACTTGTCCCTTTGCTTTACATCCTTAGACTTAAACTCCCTCTTTTTCTGATGTATCACTGTAGAAGTTAGCAGCTTTCTTGACTGGAACTGCTCTGCTTTGGAAATGATTAGCTACCTCTCTCCATTCACCTGCACCAGAGGCAGCAGCCATCTGGGTCTGGTCTTCTATTTCTTCTGTGTTCCACCTGTGCCAACACTGCTGCTAAAACCCAAGCCAGAGAAAACACTCACTGTCTCCAGGTAGCTCGTGAACCAGTCTGGAGGCTTGTCTGGAGTCTGCTCTGCATCACATGGAGCAAGTGGAAACTGCTGTGAGAAAACACAATCCAAGATCTTGGAGGTTACTATTTTTTTCCTATTTAAAATAATCTTCCTGAAATATATTATTTTGAGGCTTCCTTCATCAAATAATACAAATATACAGTGGGAAAAAAAAAGAGTATGAAGGGAGATAAAAGGAAAATAAAGTGTTTATGTCACCATAGTCACCCTCTCTCAGGAAGTCGCCATTACCAGTTTCAAAAAGTAAGACAGGGTACAAGAACTCCCAAATCTTAGACCAGAGACAGTGAGGCATGAGGTCAGAAAAACTGCAGAGACAGGGCCATTCCTTTCATACCTGTGCTGCAGGCTCCGCTGGGGTCTTCATATTTGATCCCAAGACTCTCACCAGTGAAGAATAATGTGCAAGGGGCTTCTTCCCTGCCCTCGGAACTGGTCGTTTTTCTGCTACAGCTGGGGGTGGGCATTCCTCACTGACATGGTAGCCTTCATGGACTTGCATCTGCAGCTGGTTTCCCTGCTTAACTGCCATCTGAGAACATCCATTATAAAATAAAAACATGTGTGATTCTCCTTTCCCAAACGGAATTTCAAAGATATCTAAGCAGAAGAGGTGTGGTGAATTATGCTGGCAGGTATCAGGATTTATCTTTGTTTTATTAAATCAAATAATATATATACCATGTTAACACTTAGCCTGCCATTTCTTTGCAAGAATGTTAACTAGGAATATTTTGTTATTAAAGAAACAGAAGTAGGTTTTGTTTTAACACTCTGATTAGATGTTTTCATTAACTAGATTACTACTTTTCTGGTTAACTGGTTTTTATGTAGTACTCACTTATGGATTCTAACCTCAACTTTCCAAAAAGGTTAATCCCAGACTACCAGAACCCAAGAAACTCAATGCTATATCCCATAATTAAGCATTTACTTTTCCATTAAGAATAGTATTCTGGAAAGCCTGCTTAAGTGGTCACCTCTTTCTCAAGGGTATTGTCTTAAAAATCCTATTTTGAAAACTACTTCAAGGAGGATTTGCAGTTCCATGCACGTACTCCAGTGTCTAAGAAATGATTAAGGGTCAAGTCCATGCAGTTCTAGCTTACCCCCTTGTCACCCAGTGACAAGAAAAAGTGTTCTTTTACCTATTTTTACACATTAGACTTCTTTATATTCCATTTATAGCATTCCATTGCCAAATGTCTGAAAGCTATTATTTTAGATCACGGTTCAGCAAACTTTCTTAAAGGGCCATATAATAAATATTTTAGGCTTGTAGGCGATACAGTTTCTATTAGTTACAGCACAAAAGCATCCAGACAATACATCATGAATGAGTGTAACTGTTCCAATAAATATTTATTGACAAAATATGTGACCAGCCCACTGGCTATAGTTTCCCAATCCCTATTCTAGATCATAAACTAAGAATATTTTAATAAAATGTTTGGTACAATTTGGAAAAAACTGCTCAAGAAATGACTATAATGAGATGGGTCAAAATATAAACAAGGGATTTTAAGTATTTATAAAAAAAGTATAAAAAGTCTTGCTTCCTGGGCAAGACAGGAATATATAAATTCTAGACTCCTGAGGGCCAAGATTTTTGAATGAAAAGGTAAACTAATAGAGGTTGTGGGAAAGGGGAGTTTTGAAGACCTTAGATGACTTTTTTAAGTGAACCTACTGTAAGCTTCTGAGACTGGGGAAAGGGAAAAACCAGGAAGCATTGGGTAAGAGTGGAAGTGGGTAGAGGCACCGCATGGCAGAAGAGCTTAAAAGCAAAGCATAAAGACCACATGAAAACTGCAGTAAAAGGAAATTATGACACAGGAGAAATTATTAACAGAGATGAGTATTTCAACTAGGAAAAACCAGGTATGAACCTGAATGTCCAAAACCGAGAGACCAGTTGATAACTAAGGACTTCTGAGAAGAGCAATTTTGTCCAGAAAACAAGAACGGTAAATCCAGCTCCTAATTAAAAAAAAAAATCTTGCCCTTCCCTCCCTAAAACAAATGGGATTACGGAAAACAGCTTAGTCTTAGACTAGACTTCATAATGGATAGTCAAACTTTCAACAAAAACCTTAATTACAAAGGTGATAACGAAAGGACAACACATCTTAAAGAAGTGACCTCAGGAGGACTGCTTTAACTCATCATTGACAAGCCAAAGACTGATAGTAACTGGATGGTTTATACTTTAAATGCTCACACTAAATTAGAGTGTAACATTCTACAGGGAACAAGGTGAAGACAGGAGATAAAAAATGTGAACCAGAAAACATCACTTCAGAGTTCTTTGTATTTCTAAACGCTAGGATGGTGGCACGAAGACTAGCAATGAGATGGAAGAGTAACTGGGAAGAACCCTTGTATCTGGAGCTGCTTATTGCTGAGTGGTACGCCCTACTCACCAGAGTCCCCTAAAAATAGGTTTTGCTGTGTTTATATCCATTAGTTCCTCCCCATGGCTAATGCAATTCAGGTTCAAGTTCTACTCGATATTTTTTAAAGTATTTGAAATAACCATTACCTTAAGCGCTTCTTCATATTCGCCTGAAAGGACAAAAAATACACACGGTGATTTCTTAACCAGCTCAAAAGATTCTATTAAGTAGCCCAATCCACCTAAGAATTCTTAGTTTATAACCCTTACATATTAACAGCTACTCCCTTTCCGTGGACAGACTCTGTTTCTCATCCTATTGCACACAGGAGCTACCTGCAGCTTAGCTCTCTCCCTTAAATCCCTGTTTGTTACTGGAGCCTTCCAGTTACCTCAACCCAGCTCCCTCACACTAGGTTTACAGAAGCTCAGGACTCAAGGGAGTTTGCAGATATTATGAACACTATCATCTCAGCTGGTTAATGTCAGCTTTTAGTGGCCAGCCTGGGAAACTAACCTTCAAATACAGCATTGTTCTTGTGGGAAAATGAACTCTAAGCTCTGAGCAGCCAACCAAATTATAAATAAGCTCCCGGAATAACACTTATTTGTAAGTTGATGTTAACTATACCAAGACAGGGACAAATGCAACACCAGGAGAACAGTTTTTATGTGCTGAACTGAACAGTTTTTATGTGCTGAACTGGGAAGTATATTTTTAGAAGATTAGCATCTTAAATATAGGAGAACCTCCTATTAAAGCTGTCCTTATGGTCTAATCAAAGGCACCAATCTGTATTTTAAAAACTGCTATAAGATAAAAATCCACAATGTAATTAAATGGCCATGGATCAGTGAGTGCAATGTCAATGTATTGTATACCAACTCCTACTCTAAAATGAATATTGCACAAGGTTTTCATGTAAATGGAAATGCATGTGCCCATGGACAGATTAAGGCTTTTAAATAGAGTAGAAAAGGTTTTCCTGGGACTCACCTTGGCTGTTAATGGATACCTGTCAAAGGAAAAGAGCAACAGTGAATTACAAACCTCTCATCAATTGAGCGTTTCTCTTACTAGGACCAGCCTCACAGATCAGATGCAAAATTTCAGGTCAGGAGTTCAGACTTTCCAGTATCATGAACTAGTCGTGAGTAATAATTATAAGAATTCTATTGCCTAACCAAAGTATCCTCCTTTACTTCAGGTACATCAAGAAGCAGCATCATATAGTGGTTATACGTCTGGGCTCTGGAGCCAGAGCGTATGGATTGCACTTTACTGCTTCCACAGTTTGTGCCTCTGGGCAAGTTATTTAAGCTCTCTGTGTCTCAGTTTCCTCCTGGGTTAAAAAAGAGATGATAAAAACATACCTAATACATAGTTGCCAGCCTGGGAAACTAACCTTCAAATACAGCATTGTTCTTGTGGGAAAATGAACTCTAAGCTCTGAGCAGCCAACCAAATTATAAATAAGCTCCCGGAATAACACTTATTTGTAAGTTGATGTTAACTATACCAAGACAGGGACAAATGCAACACCAGGAGAACAGTTTTTATGTGCTGAACTGAACAGTTTTTATGTGCTGAACTGGGAAGTATATTTTTAGAAGATTAGCATCTTAAATATAGGAGAACCTCCTATTAAAGCTGTCCTTATGGTCTAATCAAAGGCACCAATCTGTATTTTAAAAACTGCTATAAGATAAAAATCCACAATGTAATTAAATGGCCATGGATCAGTGAGTGCAATGTCAATGTATTGTATACCAACTCCTACTCTAAAATGAATATTGCACAAGGTTTTCATGTAAATGGAAATGCATGTGCCCATGGACAGATTAAGGCTTTTAAATAGAGTAGAAAAGGTTTTCCTGGGACTCACCTTGGCTGTTAATGGATACCTGTCAAAGGAAAAGAGCAACAGTGAATTACAAACCTCTCATCAATTGAGCGTTTCTCTTACTAGGACCAGCCTCACAGATCAGATGCAAAATTTCAGGTCAGGAGTTCAGACTTTCCAGTATCATGAACTAGTCGTGAGTAATAATTATAAGAATTCTATTGCCTAACCAAAGTATCCTCCTTTACTTCAGGTACATCAAGAAGCAGCATCATATAGTGGTTATACGTCTGGGCTCTGGAGCCAGAGCGTATGGATTGCACTTTACTGCTTCCACAGTTTGTGCCTCTGGGCAAGTTATTTAAGCTCTCTGTGTCTCAGTTTCCTCCTGGGTTAAAAAAGAGATGATAAAAACATACCTAATACATAGTATTGTTAGTCTGATACATTACAACCACTCAATGAAGGTTTGCCATTTTTATTTTTATTATTATAAACTCAATGACAGCTTGTGATATATTTGAACTTAAGATCACTATATAGTTTTAAAAGTTATCTCTCAGATTTTCTTCTTCCACATTGCTTCCCTATTTCTCAACTCCATTTCAGATGCCACAACTTGGCTTAGAACATACAATTATCAAATGCATTTAAACCACTACACAAATGAGACAGACATTGTTCTGAACTTTTCGGGCCCCATACCACTCTTGAGATCCCTACTAACATCCCTATCCTGGATACCTGGCCATAGGTAACATAATATACTTTACCTCTTCATTTTCCTCATCCAGGTATTTTATTTGAATAGTGTTCAGATCAAATGAAACTTTTACCTGCAAATGAAATTTACACATATGATCAAAATATCAAAAGGGCAGGATGTAACAGAAACCCAGAAGTCATAAAGGAAAGTATGGGCATATCTCACTATATAAAAATCAAACATTGTATATGGAAAAAAAAGCCCACCATAAACAAAGTCAAAAACAAACAATAGACTGGGAAAAATATATGTGATTCTTATCTAAGGGTTAGTATCTGCAATACATAAAGAGTACCTGTAAAACTTTTAATCATAAGAACAGAAATCCAGATAAAAGTGGACAAAAATGTACAGAAATTTTATACAAGAAATCAGATATACCTAACAAATAAGTCAAAAGATATTCAACCTTAATGGTAGTCAAAACAATGCAAATTAAAGCAGTAAGATGTCACTTCAACAAAATGGCAAAAAATTCAGGGCACTGTCATATATGTCTGTGAGGTCCTACAAAGCAAAGCACTTGGCAGTTATCTATTAAAATTTAAAATCACATGCCTTATGACTCATTAATCTCACTTTGGAAAACTTTATCCTCTAGAATAGTGTGTAAATATCCCTGGTAGTTTATTTTATAGTAGTAAAAAGAAAAAAAACAACCAAAATTGAACTCATGAATACAGAGTATACACTGGTGTTTGCCAGAGACAGGGGATGGGAGGTGGATGAAATGGGTGAAGGTGGTCAAAAGGTACAAACTTCCAGTTATAATATAAATAAGTTCTGGAGAGGTAAAACACAGCATGGTGACTAAAGTTAACAACATTGTATTGTATATTTGAAAACTGCTAAGAAAGTAGATCTTAGGAGTTCTTATCACATACACACAAATTTTTAACTATGTGTGATGACAGGTGTTAACCAGACTTAACTGTGATCATTTTGTAACATATACAAATAACAAATTATTACACTGAACATCTGAAACTAGTCTTTTATGTCAATTGTATCTCAATTAAAAAATAACAACCAAAAACAATCTTTCTATAATAAATGGTTAAATTATGGTACAACAATACCAAAATTACTGTGGACAATCTATAGCTTTAAAAAGAATGAACTTTGATCCTTATCTGTTCATTGAGAACTATGTCTATAACATTCTGTTGGGTAAAAAAAGCAAGCTGCAGAATACTGTTTATAGTATGACTCAGTATGATTATCTGTACAAACAGGGAATATGTGGGTAAATAAATACAGGACTGTTAACATTAATTAAAGCCTTCCCCCAACTCACCCTAAGAGGTGGAAAATAGTAGATTGAGGGACACAGGTGGAAATGGAAGTATATTAACTTTTTCTTTATATATGTTTGTGTTCTTTCATTTCTTATAATTTACTACACTTTTATAATTTAAAATTTACAATAAAGAAAAAAGGCAAGCAGTCAGCTCATGTAACTACTAGGAAAAGATAACTGTTTGATTTTCAGATCATTTAACAAATGATCCAACTTTCTAGATGACCATCTGTTCAGGACAGTATAAAGAAACACATGCTGGAAGACAGAGGTCTAGATCATCTTTTAACATCTCTCCACCATTTCTTTTTTAGTCACCATAACACATGCTAAAAGCAGGTTTTTAACCAATCGGGTTAAAGCACGTTTTTACCAAAGGGTTTCTTTAGATAAACACAAGTTACACAGGAAGCAGAACATTCGCCGCTGCAAACCAAACAAAGACAGAAGAGTACAAAGGGCAAACCAGGGGAGGAAAAGAATCAACAACATAAAAGGAATAGATGAACTGCTGTTGAAGCACCCATGGGAGTTGTTTCTGCTTAACTTTGAGACACTCAACCTCTGACCTAGCAATACAGTAATCGATCAGCTCTTGCAAAACACAGATTACATCCTTGGTGGTTCACAAACCACAGAGACTATACTGCTTTCCAAGCAGGAGAACATTCCCCTGCAACCCGGTTGCCGGGGGGTGCCCACAGCAATTTATTTCTCAGACTGTTTCTAAAATTAACAGGTTTTCTAAGTCCTATCTCACTTAAAAAATTACTTTACCTTTCCTTCCTAAACTCTTCAAAAGGAATTTCTCTGTTTGCTCCCTTTACCAGGGCACATCCCCTGTATGAATACTGAGCTCCTGTCAAAAGTAATTTTTCAAAAGGCCTAGACATGGTAAACGTGATAGACTTCACAGTGATGAAACAACACTACTAAAAATGGCTACCTCTGGAAAAAATATCTATGCTTAAAGGATTGAGAAACAAAACAAAGTAACACTCACCATAGCTTCAACGTCAGCCCAAGTTGTATTTTCTGGATCAGAAACCAGAAAGCTTTGAGTTTCATTTTTAAAAGTCACATTTAGAGTAACCTGTGGCTCCATGCTGTGGGGCTAGAGTTGAGAGGATGGGTGAGAGAGAGGAAACACATTAGAAAGAGTTCTACAAATTGCATAAACATTAATTCAATAAATACTTGCAAGGATCTAATATGGCCTAGGCTAAGATACAGCAGTAAATGGGCAGGCAATGTCCCCGCTCTTCTGCTACTTAGCATCAGGTGGGTGGTTTACATCAAAGCTCAATGTTAAATGTTTGCTGAGTGTATGTACATTTTGGCCACCCCCAGAGAAATCGTTTAAAATTTGTGAAATCCTAGAGGATTTCATGGAAACTTATGACTGGCTAATTAAACAGGTACTACTAAATACCTGCTAGTAGCAGGGTACCAAGTTGAGTAAGACAGAATAGGTCTCTACCTTCAAGGAGTTAACATTATAACTTGAAAGCAACATTGTACATTTTTCTTGGAAAAGCAGCCTTTTCCCAAATTCAGCAACCTAGGCTATTAGATCAATTTAAACAATTTAGAGGCTGAAACACTAGCCAAGAAACTGCACAGGGGTAGCATTCAACACCTTTCATCCAAGTTCATGTATTTTCTTGTAGTCTACTTATTTTCTTTTATGGAGAATTCCAAACATACATAGAAATAGAGTAATGAACATTTAATTACTAAGATTAATTCAAGGCTACCCTCATTTCATCTGTACACCTGTATCCTCCCAACTCCACCACCAAAATGGATTGATTATAGTCAACTAATGTTTTAACCAACTATAGTAGTCTGATTATAAAAACCTATTATGGGAAAATTTAAACCTATACAAAAGGAGAGAGATTAATATATAATGAACCCATATGGACTCATTGGCTATCTTCCATAATTATCAACTCAGAACTAATCGTGTCACAGCAATGCTAGTTCCCTGTTGGATTATTCTGACAGCCAGTCACCATTTCAGCCATAAAATAACAGCATGTACCTCCCAAAGATAAGAATTTTAAAAAACATAACCACATGCCTAAAAGGTTAACAGCTCCTTAATTCAGTGTCTATTCTGGTCAGTTGTTTATTTTTAATTAAGGAATTTGTTTACTAGTAAGTTGTTAGGTTGGTTTATGAAAAAATAGTTTGTGTAAATACAAACATAAACTGTAATGAAAAAGGTCAGCTTTTAAACATACTCAACAAATCTTTAATAAGCATCTACAATGAGCCAGATTCTGTTTCAGGCATGAGCAGTAAGAGATGGACAAGATAAAGGAGTTTACAGTAAAGTGGGGGAGGTTAACACAAAGGTTGAGAAGGGCTGGGTTTCAGATACAGCTCTGGCATTTTACTAGCCATGTAACTGTGAGCAAGTCATTTAACCTCTGAGCTTCCGTTCCTTAATCAGTAAAACACGTCTACCATCTCTGCATTACCTACCTCACAATGTTACCGTAAGAATCAAATAAAAATGTGTGTGCAAGTACTTCGAGAATGATACTCAAATTTAAAAATTATAGTAAGTCTGCAGAATCTAAAATAGCCATTTTCCACAATATAATGCACTGCCCTGTAAAACAATACAAGTGGGACTAACATTAAAAAAGACCTTAAACTCTCTGAGGATCAGGGATTTGTAAAATCCAAAGACAAGTATCTCCCAAGTGTTTCCATTTTTTTGTCCCCACCTAGAGACAAGTTCACCACACACACAAAAACAGTAATAGCAGTTTCTGGCACCCATCCTGCTGACATCTAGTATTCATTCATATGGGATGTAATTCTTGGGTTCTTAAAATGTGGATAGAATTTCTGTCAACACCCCAAAATCTTGGGCAAAAAAAAAACAGGGAAATGAAGTGACCGATTCAGTCTGCCCTAAGTAAATACTCTGAAACACATTCTCACTTTTCAAATTTGAGAAATACACTTCCATACATTTTCGAGAGTGCAGAAGGAAGCTAATCTTCCTTCCCTTTTCCCAAATTACACAATTGGAAATTAGTTTAGATACTTTGGAGCTCATCCAGCTGGTCAGCTGATGCAGAAACAGGAAGTGGGGATTCTAGCTTAACTGGAACATACCCAGGTCTTCATAAAGAACTGCCTATTTCTGTTTGGCTCAAATATGAAAATTCTTTCAGCAAGAGCATTTCATCTTGAACTTGTGGAAATACCAAAGCTATGGTTAGTACAACCTGTCCCCATAGGTTTTAATGCAAGTCAGGTAGCTGGGGGCCAGGCCTTCAGCTTTCCTAACTGTATTACTATATTATAACCTCATGGCCCTGGCTCACCTTTGCTTGGCACAAGTCAGTTTTTCCTCTCGATTTTTTCACGATACCAAAAACCACTTTAATGAAGATGACCGGAGTACCTGAGCTTTGATTGCTGTCTTCGCCTGAGTCCTGTATAAGCTATCCGGGCGTTAAAAAGTGTGCTCTGAAAGCTGGATGTTTGACAAAGAGGTGAAACAGTGCTTTTTCCAGAAATCCCTAACGAAGGAGACTTCTTTAAGAGGTTCTCAAGAAACCGAAGGGGATGGGGTGAGGAGGCTACGTGGGTAGTGTCATTTTTTTTTTTCATCCCGACTTCCAGTTATCCTTTCCTGGCACTCCGTGTTCCCACGACAGTGTCAACACCCCCAAAGTCTCTTTATCTTGTTTTCTTTGCCTAGGCCCTCTTTGTGCGGGGGAGTCTTGGCCTCCCACCAGCAGAGGCCGGGCCTTCTGAGCCACAGACCCTTCATCCTTCGAACGGTATCTGTCCCCTTGTCCCACCAACGGCTCTCTAATCAGGTCACTAAAGATACCTGCTGACCCACACAGAAAAAGTCGCCCCTCTTCTTTGCAGGACTCGTCCCTCGAACTTCCCCAAGCTCTCTTCGAGCGACGTGACCCCACCTCCGTTAACCGCAGCTGCTTTCTTACCAGCTTCCTGCCCCCGGGGTGCGCCTGCCAGAGGCCAGCGTAAGGCCCGTTCGCTGCCAGTTCTGCTGCTATCCCTGCGGGGTGAATCTAACATGGCGGAGAGAGACAAGGCCTAGGTCCCCGTTTCTGAGTTTCCGACAAGATGATTGGCTTTTTCCACTTGTCCCTCAAAACCACCACCCTATTGATTGGTCGAGGATGCGCTCGCAGGGGTGGGGCAGGAGCCGTCTAAACCGCACAACAACAAACACTGGAGCGGAAGGACGGAATCACCAGTGCGCAGCCGTGAGCCAGGGCCGGTTTCCCTTACCAGGTAAATCGGAACCGGCTGCGTTCCCTTAGGGCACTGACCTTAGAGGATTACTTGCCCGCGACTCGCGAGGCTAGATAGGAATTGTAGTCTTTCCTAGGACTTGTGGGTTCTTAAGCCTACTCTCCGTTCTCAAAACACGAAAACCTAAACACTCCAGTCCTTATCAGTTGACGTGAGCGAGCGCGCGGAACTCCTCAATCAGCACTGTGATGCCGTGAGGATGGTACCCGCTTCCGGTGTTGGAACAACTCTCCATAGGTTACAGTTGCCAAGAACCCTGTGGAGGCCTTTCGATCCGCAAAGCATGCTGGAAATCGTAGTTTTTCCCCCTTTTAGCGGCCTAAACCGGAGACTTCCATTGAGGCGGAAAGGGTGAGGGAATGGAGCCTCTTCTTGCGACTGTTTTAGGCACTACCTTAAGCTCATATTCGGGCCTCAGGTAGCGATTCAGACCCTAGTACTGCAATCTCTGGGACATTATAAACCGCAATTTATTAGCGTAGAGGTTAAGGGGCGGGCGGCTAATAGAAAACTAAAGAATTCCTTTTCTTCCGTCTCTTTCTGATTCCGTAACGAAGGAAAAAGTGGAAGACCAATCGGGAGCCCTGGGAGACTCTCGGCCCTTTCTGCTCCGCCCTTCTGTAACGTATTTCCAGCTCGCTTTCTGAGAGGCTCTGATTCAACGGAAGCGGCAGGTTTCCGTGGTAACAGAAAAGCGCGGGAAATACAGATAAATTGAAACTGCGTCTGCGCGGACTGAGCTAGCGGAGTATTTGTGGGCCGCTCTCAGACAGCTGGACCGTTGGGCCTCGGAAGCCCGGGCTCTTTACTCTGGGTAAAGGTGAGCGAACCCTGAGGAAGGGACGAGGACCCAAGGAGTGCTCCGAGGGACAGGCGGGAAACAGGTGTGGAGAGAGTGGGAGAGAGCGGGTTCCTGAAGAAGAGTAGAATGGATGTTATTCGGCAGGGGCGGGCGGAGGGTGAAACCTGAGAAGCTTAAGACGTTGAATCTGGAGATATCAAGGGCGGGAGTAGGAACTTAGTTAAGGGGCGCGGGGCACTGAAGGTAAGGGAGAGGGCAGGCTGTGTCCCAGGGGAAATCCTGATAATAGGAACTGGAATGTGTCTTGAGGGGGACACCATAGTATAAAAAGAACGAGCTGGTATATATGAGCAGGGGATTCTGAGGAAGAAAAGGACAGAAACGTGTTTGGGAAGAGTAGAGACAGGATTTTGTGAGAGGGAGAGCCCGTAAGAACTGAATCCATGCATGTTTGTGAGAAGGGACAAGAAGGAAGTCGAAGGGCGTCGGTAGTCCTAGACCCTGTGGGCTTGGATGTGCCCGAGGAGGATCCCGAGATGAGTGCAAGCCAGTGGGAAACACAGGAGAAACAAGCTGGTCAGAGGGGAGCGTTGATTAGTACTGGCTTTTTTTGGTTTGTTGATTTTGATTTTAAGCTAGGTAAAACAGCCGGTGATTGGAGAAATCTGAGGCTACTCACCCAGTGAGCTGTCCCGCCGTGGCTTTCCCTATCTTGGAGAAAGGAGACCAGAAGGAAGTGGTCGGAGGCTGTATATGAGAAAAACAGAGAATTTGAGTGCACTTAATTGCAAAAAACAACTTTTTTAGAGTTTTATAAAATAAGGCTCTTGTCATTAGTTCTATGGTAGTCTAATTCTAAAGCCTTCCCATTTTAAATAAGAATTATCTAAAAAGAAAGTGAAACTAAGGTGTTTTCATAAACCTTTTAAAGTGACATATATTTAAGTATATGTGTTAATGTTCATTAGAACAGAAAGAAATGGATTTATCTGCGGATCGGGTTGAAGAAGTACAAAATGTCCTCAATGCTATGCAGAAAGTCTTAGAGTGTCCAATCTGGTAAGTCAACATTAATTTGACATTCTTCTTTATTTGATTATATATAAATGAATATAATTGACCTTACATATTAAATCTATATTATAACATCTAATAATATTATGCTATTAAAGTTGCTGCTAACTGAAGAGCTTTAGCAGTGTAGGAAATTATTCCTTTTTCTCCGCTTTGCCTCTCCTTTTCCCTCTCTACCTCCTCAATACACACAACATCCTATTCTTCCTAATCCACAGACTGTCTAGATCTGGCATGGATTAAGTGGCCCTTGTATTTTTTATCCTTCTCTAAAACAACTTGGTCACTTGGAATGGATGGTTAATAATGGCAAAATAAAATCATGAATGATTGGGTCTTTGGAAGAACCTTTCGCTGAAACTAGTCCTGCATTTAAATAAGAATACTGCAAGTCACCAAATCCTTTAGCAAGTCTCTGACTTTTTGAACAGTACTTTGTTTTTCTTCATCTATAAAATAAACAGTGGACTAGAATATTCACGTTTTTTTTATTGAGGTATAATTTATGTACAATTAAATGCAGAGATCTTAAGCATGCAAATCAATGAGTTTTGACAAGTATATATATCTGTAATCCAGTCAAGATACAGAACATTTCTATCATGCCAGAAAATTCTCTTGTGTGTATTCAGGAGCTCTTACCTCGCTGACTCTCTAAGATCCATGGAGGCCTGTGAATAAAATTGTATTTCAATATAATTAGTTTCTTGTATAATTTTCTATTTATTCTTCTATGCATTTAAAAGTATTACTCTTAGAAGGGAGTTCATGAGCTTCACCAGCTGCCAAAGGGATTCCATGGTACAATAGGGTTATGAATCCCAAGCAGTCATAAATGATCTCAGTGGTATCTCTTAAATCTACACACACAGACAATTAAAAACCATGCGTCAGAATCTCTTGGTGAAAAACCAAAAGGAAATTTAGAAGAATTATTGCCTGCCCTCTTTCCTCTTATTCTCTTTACTCTGGTCATTCTGGTCTCTTAACTGTTCTTTAGATATGCAGTACATTCTCCTGCCTCTGAGCTTTTATACTTATTGTCTGGAATGTTTTTCCTCAATAATTGCATGGCGTACAAATCTTGATTGAAATAGTTGACCCTTGAACAACCTGGGTTTGAACTGCACAGGTTCACTTATACAGCAGTTTTTTTCTATAAATATATTATAAATATTTTGGGGGACTTGTGACAATTTGGGAAAACTTTCTTTTCTCTAGCTTACTTTTTTGTAAAAATACAGTATATAATGCATATAACATACAAAATATGTATTAATCAGCTATTTATTTTGTTGGCAAGGCTTCTGGTCAACAGTAGGCATTTAGTGGTTAAATTTTCAGGGAGTCAGAAGTTACAAGTGGATTTTCGACTGCATAGGGGTCACTTAACCTAATCCCTATGCTGTTCAGGGGTCAAATGTACCACCTTTTTTTCCAGAGGCATTTCCAGATAACTTTATTTAGAATTTTAACACTCTTACCTATCTTCCTTTTTTGTTTTATTTTTCTCCATAACTCTTATTACTAGCTGACATTGTATAATTTATCCTTTTTCTCTACCCCCCCCAACAGAATATAAACTCCATGAGGTTAGAGGTTTTTGTTTTATTTAGTTCTGTATTCTTGGTACCTGAGACATAGTAGTCACTCAGTAAACATTTGTTGAAGGCATTAAATAATAAACTAGATTAATGGTCTAATATGGTGTTGGTTAGTGGTGGGTAACATTCAAACAAATAAATTGGAAAGCTGCACCTTACCTTGAATAAAGGAAGCAAATTCAAGTAAATTTTCCTTTGTACTTCATGAAGGTTGTTTTTCTTTTTTTTATTATTATTATAGTATCACTGATACACAATCTTAGGAAGGTTTCATATGAACAACATTGTGGTTTCAATATTCACCCATATTATCAAGTCCTCACCCGCCCCCACCCATTGCAGTCAGTGTCCATCAGCATAGTAAGATGCTGTAGAGTTACTGCTTGCCTTCTCCATGCTGTACTCCCTTCCCTGTGACCCACCTACATTGTGACTGGGAATTATAGTGCCCCTCAATCCCCTCATGAAAGTTGTTTTTCATATTTGGAGTCAAGTAAATGAGATTGAAGAAAATGCAAGTTGTCTTTTCAGAGAGCAACAAGATTTATAAGTAACCCTCCTCTCCCTTGCCCCTCAGTATTTCAACTAAACAAAAACAAGAGCTAAATGAGATTTACACCCCAACCTAAGGAACATCAGAGCCAGAGAAGCAGGAAATGACAATTGGGAAAAAAATTGTCCTTGAAAAACCATAAAACTTAGGATAATTACAAAGAATGATCAAAAGTCCTTAATAATATGGCATTTGGGTATTTATTTTACATTCCCATGGGACTCAGTCATAAAAATCTAATGTTTTTTTCTCATTCTGACAAATTAAACCATCAATTAAAAAACTCAGTTACATAAAATGAAAGACGCAAGAATGAAAGCTAATGAAACATTTTCATTTTCGGTCAATTGTGTATTTTTCCAGCTCCTTATATTTATTAATTTGTTTGTTTGTTTGTTTATTATGTTTTCCATTGGAAACAGACTTAGGTATTTAAACTAAAACTGTTCATCCTAGACATTGTTAAACCTTAAATCTATTTAAATGGGAAGTTCTAGGATGAGAGTTATACCTAATTTACTTTTTTTTTTAACAATGCCCAGAACAATACATTTTGCAGGAATGTCTTAATAATTGATCCCTGATTATAACTGGAAACAGTAATACTTATGGTGTCCCTGGCTAGGTTTCCAACTTCTTTGAGATCTCTCCAGCTAAAGTTCTTTCTGTTGGCCTCTAAGTTAACTATTGGCATTTATTTTTGATAATTGATAGTTCTTTCTAACTTCTTACGAGTGACTATAAAATTTTTGACTTCCAGAAGACTTTGCTAAAATATGTGTCATGGTGGGTAAGTGGTGTTTTTGGAACCTAACTTAGCTTTTTTTTCCCAATCATTTATCCATGTTGGAAGCTCAACATGAAATACCCAGTAGACCTAAAATATTGCTTGGATGGGAATATTTGAATCACTTTTTCTTTATTTTATTGAATTATAGTTCATATAAAATCTTATACTGATTTCAAGTATACAACACTGTGGTTCAAGTTTCTTGTATTATTAAATCCTCACCCCCACTAGTGCAGTTACTATCTGTCAACATAGGAAGATGTTACAGAACCATTAGCTATATTCTCTATGATGCACTTTCAACCCGTGACCAATTTATGCTATGATTGAGAACTTTTGTGCCATTTTATCCCCCTCACCTTCCCCACCACCCACCCCAACTCCTCCCCCATGGTAACCACCAGTCACTTTTCAGCGTCTATGAGTCTACTGCTATTTTGTTCATTTTGTCTTGTTTTGTTTTTGTATTTCACAAGTAAGTGAAATCATATGGTATTTGCTTTTCTCCACCTGGCTTATTTCACTTAGCATACCATCTAGATCCATCCATGTTATCTCGAATGGCTTTCTTTCAATCACTTTTATAATAAACACTTACTCTCATGAGTAACATTTTAATTTTTTTCTTTTCATTCCCATTTCCTCTTCAAGCTTTTCCTTCAACAGTTATTACTTTTTTACATATTGGAGTTTTCATCTGTTTGAAGTTTGTGTTTATAGTATGTTTGTAGAGCTTGGCTTATAATTACCATACTGAAATAACAGTTATTTCAGAACTGAGTCAGTGGTGAGAATGAAATCCATCTGGTATCATAGCTAAATCTAATTTCTCTTTTACTGAGAATTTCTTTGATATCTAGCTTGTCTGAGGAATAGTGATTTAGTAACAATTCAGAGTTCTCTCTGTCAAGTTGTTGTGGTTTTTTTATCACATTTGGTCCCAATAATAGTATTAACATTGGTACAAATCATGTCAAATTATGGACATTTTCTCATATAGCATTAGGTTTATTCTGGCAATAATCTGAAGAGACTGGTAGAGTGGGTGGTGGAAGGAAACTGAGATTTAGGTAGAGCACTTGGCCTGAGGTCACTCTGCTAATAAAACAAGAGCTTGTACTAGAAACCCAGCCTTCTGACTGGTATTTTTCATTCCTGTGCTGCGTCAGAAACCCTATGACTACAAGAGTTGTATTACCAAACCCTTCACAATGAAGCTGTTGTCCCCCAGCTTTTCTTGTGACCCTTTTCTAAAAAGTTAGGCATTTAATGAAAAGAATCACATTCCTGTTACACAAGGTCACCTTTTCTTTGATGTCCTACCTGAACTTTACCAAAAGTCAGTTTCTAAAGCTCTCATTCAGAATAAAAGCTAGAGACTTAAAATAGCCTCTGGGTTCCTACCTGCTCAGGCTCCCAGCTACTTCTCTAACCTCTTCTATTAGTACTTCCCTCCTTGATCATTCCATCCTAGCATCCTGGCATACTCACTGTCTCTCAAACACACCAGGCATGGTCCTGCTCAGTCTTACCTGCTCTCTCTGATGGAATGTTCATCCCCCAGTTGTTTCACCAGTTTGTTTCCTCACATTATTCAGCTGTCCACCAAAGTCACCCTCTCAGTGAGGCCATTCCTGACCACCCTCTATAACACCCTCCCCCGCACACACACACACTGACTCCCTTTCCTCCTTATCCTGCTTTATTTTTCTTTTTAGCACTTATTCTCATATGTTCTTGTTTATTTCTCAGTCAACTGTCTACCACAACTAACTGTAAGATCTATGAAGGCACACTTTATTTTTGTTCACTGCTATATTTTCAGCTCCAAGAGCAGTGTTTGCATATAGTAAGTACATGCTCAGCAAATACTTTTTATGTTAGTAAGTGAATTAATCTCAGGAAAGCCTTGAAATTTTGGGGATAGACAGGTGGGATGGTAATTTGGGTGATGTATTTTCTTAAGATTTTCATATTTTTTAAAGTTTATTGTTTTCTAAATTCTCTTCAGTATGTATTCCATTGTTTTTACAAAGTTATCACAAACCAAACATCATGTACCTCCTGAAGTGATGTAATAAAAGTACATAATACCACCTATAAAGTGTTCTTGCCAAGAAATTGAACCTGAATTTGATCAAGCCTTTAGGTGTAGTTTACAGGAAATAAAATGCTAAATAAAAGAACATGTTAAACCACATCATGGTGTTGCAATCTGTAAAATCCAGAATGTGGGAAGCTCTACAGGTCAAATGACCTAGTTTTTAAAGTAAATGACAAGGGGGGAGAATAAGGGAAGGGACATCTGTAGATTAAAGGATACTTGAGATACAGCAACCAAATGCAATATGTGTATCTTGTTTGTATCCTGATTTAAATAGATTTAATCATGGTTTTTTTATGAGACAGTAAAGGAAATTAGAATATTGTATATTAGATTATATTAAGGAATTTGTTTTTAAGTAATAAGTTTCATGGTTAAGCCAAAAGTCCTTATCTTTTAGAGATACACTCTGAAACATTTTGTCTTTGTAGAGCTTAGTTTAATTAAGGTATAGGATGTGCCCCCACAGCGATAGCTCAAAAACATGTATCAGTGAAAATTAATTAATATGAAAATAGTATCAGCTAGATGCTAAAGATAATATAGGGTCTTGAAAAGAATAATCTGTTTTGATGTCTAAAAACTCAGTGAGGGTAAGAATCATATTATCTGCTGATTTTTGGCTCCTAGCACAACAAATATTTAGTAAATACTTATTGAATGAACTGAAAGCCTTACTTTGACTTAGTTTTAGCAGCTTAAAGTTGAACTTCTCTAAGAATATATTTATTTTTAAGTGAATTATTGAGCCTCATTTTATTTTGTTTCTTTTCCTACCCTTCTAGTCTAGAATTGATCAAAGAGCCTGTTTCCACAAAGTGTGACCACATATTTTGCAAGTAAGTTGGATTGTTTCATGTGGCTCCATTATTAGCTTTTGTGCTTATCCTTCATAACAGGAAACACCTAATTTTATATAAGCTTTAGTCTCTTCAATTAAGAAAAAAAAATTATAAACAAAAAACCTCACTCTATTTCATTCTGCCTCAAAGTGCTTAGAAAGTCTTCCTAAGTTGGTTATAGCCAGAGTTCCTGGTAAAATATTGGCATATTTATCTAATGGGATGTGAAATCACTTAGAACAACTGTTTGTTTTTTGTGTCCCTGAATGAAAGCAGATTCCAGGCGATTGTGAAATAAGCAGAGTGTGTTTCCACCTTCCCAGTTTCTCTGTTATTTCTGCATGTCCTTCTGCTTCTGCCTTTCTAAGGTTCAGTGTTTGCCTGCTTCATAATCCTTGTGAAAGTAGGAAAGAATCTGGTACCGGTTTATATTGGGTGAAGTTAATTCATACGAATGATTCAAATAATATTTACATTTTTAAGGATCAGCCCTTTGAAATGAAAATGTATCTTGATGGAAGAATTTCACAAAAGTTTTGTAGGTAATTTCATGGAACAAAGGGGTTTTCTTCTTTCCCTGATGTTAAACTGTGATTGAGATTTGCTCTGAGTGTCAACTAATTTGTTTTTAGGCTTTTTTTTTAAATTGATAAAGCAAGCCATGTCCATGGTAATGAGTTTAACTAGCAGAAAAGGTTATATGATGCAAAGTATCTATTTCCCTTGTACCCCAAAACCCTTGTCTTTCTCTTGTCACCCCAGAAACAATCACAATTATCAATTTCTTATGTATCCCTTCAGGAATTTTAAAATTCAAGAATTCTTAACTTGGAATTCATAAATGGCTTTCATGAATTTCCTAGAATTCAATTTTAAATTCAATTGTATAAAAAACTGTGGGCATGTGCAGTTTTCTAGAAAAACAGTCCCTAATTTTCCAATGTCTTAGAATGTTTCCATAATGTAAAATATGTGAAGAGCCTATGTGTTAAAGTTAATAAAGGCCAGCTGATGCTAAAGGAAACCTGTTCCTTTTGGAGGAATATCTGCCAGAGGAGGTCTGCCTTCCTCAGAATTTTACCTTGTTCTTCCCATTCATCTGACCCAACAAGGATCCAGAGCCCACTTCTACTATCTTTCACCTCTTTCCTATCTCACCCCACTGGCCTAGATCTGTTCCCAACAGTTTTCTTCTGATTCCTCAGGCCCTTTTCCCCTGTCAGGTGCCAGGGCAGCACAGCTTTATCTCTGTGCTTCAAGAATTTTTTAATTTTGTGCCTTCTAGAGAGAAGCTTCTCAAATTATTTGAGGTATAGGACCAGTTTCTTGGTAGATCAGTACTTTTGTAAATCAAAATTTTAAAGCCCTAGTATTTAAACAGTTACAGATAGCTGAAGATTACCTTTAAATGCTGTGACTTTCACTGTTTCTTGATGAGAATCTTTCTGAAAGATTCTGTATGCTTTCCTATCACCTTGGATAATGAAAACATAGTATTATAGTGAGTAAAGAAGAAATTAAATTATGAACAATCATTACTTCAAGACATTATGGAAAAGGAAATTATAGGCAGAGGAAATAATGTGAGCAAAGGTAGGAAGAGAAGAAAGTAAAATATATGTAGGAAAAATAAGCCAATTTTGCATTTCTGTATAGGAGTTGTGTTAGGAAAAGAAGGTGCCCTCAGGGAGATGGCATTTGCAAGACAGAGAAGGTCCAGGATGGGGCAGAAGGGATTAGAAATAGAAAATGGGTGTAAGAAAGAGAAGTAGTTGTTATTCATAAGCAGTAATGTAGGAAAAGAACAGTAATTCTAAAGAAACATTCTAAGGTTGGGCTGGAGGTAGTTGAGGTAGTTTGAGTTCAGTAAAGTTGGAGGTAAAGGCATCTCTCGAGATTGAGAGGGTTAAAGTTGGCAACTGGGGAGAATGAGAAAGACTTGCAATACCTACTATGGAGAATATAATAGAAGAATCTGCCATATTTTAAATGATGTGTTAAAATTAGAGTTTAGTACAATGCCCATGTGATAGATCAACTTTTTCATGAAATCTCTTCTGTAATACCTTTAGAATTTGAATAACACCTTGATCTATATGATGAGAAAGTTGGGAAAAATATCCCCAGTATTAATTATATTGGTTGTATTTTCCCAGAATGAACTCCAATTGCTAATGATAAAACAGCTTTGTTGACCAGGGTAAGTCTTTAGTTCTAAACCTTTCATGAGATATACAAAAAAGGTAATAGTACTCATCTAGAAAAAAAAATTACTTAGGTCATCCATGCATTAGTTTGCAGTTTCCAAATAACAAATGAAATGCATGATACTTTTGGAACATCTAGAACCACGTTGTCCAGAGATAGTAAGTCATAAATATCGCTTAAATTTTCTAGTAGCCACATTACTAAAAAGTTTTTTTTTATTTGGAATTAATTATATTTATATATTTTAAACCCAATTATGGCCAAAATTTTGTTACTTCAAAATATAATCAATATAAAAAATAGAGATATTTAACTTTCCTTTTATAGTAAGTCTCTGAAAACCTGTGTTTTTCGATCTTAGTTTGGACTACCCCATTTCAAATGGTCAGTAGCCACATGTGGCTAGGGGCTGATATGTTGGAAAACACAGCTCTAGGAAATTACTATTCAAAGTGGAGTTCATTGGCCTGCATCAACCACATCACATGGGAATTTGTAGAATCTCAGCCCTACCCCAAACCTACTGAATTGGAATCTGCATTTTAACAAGAACTTTGTAAGATTCTTATGCACACTAAAGTTTGAGAAGCAGTATTCTGGAATGATGACCTTCCTGTACACTTACTTGGAGGAGAGTAAGAGGGACTGGACCAGGGATGGCTGAGGTCTAAAGTAAGACTAGGTAGACCAAGTAAAGCAAGTCTTGGGGTCAGCTAACTGAGGAGATCCAGGTAAGCGGTGAATCAGTGTCAGGGAGATTTGACGGCCGGAGACATTAGATCATGCTACCAGTGAATTCTGGAGTCTAGCCATGGATTGGTTTGTCACAGGTATAGAAATAGGCAAGAGATAGATAATCTAGCAAGGAGACTGAACATTGTCCTTCAGGAGTCTAGTAGCAGAAATGAGCAGAAGTTCAGGGTGGTGGTTCTAAGGCAAGGAAAGTAGCAGGGATCCAGCAACAGGAGGCTGAGGATTGGGGATAAGATTCTAGTCCCTAGGAGATAAGAGTGTCTACCCATGGGACTGGGATAGCAGACAAGGAACCTAGACAGAATCTCCCAGATGAAGAGCTCAAAAGAGATTCTTAATTGTTGGAACTAAAGTACAAACAAGAGGTTTGATCAAGAAAACAGAGCCTTACTCTAGAAACTGATAAGATTTGGTGGGACCTGCAACAGTAAATGGCTGCTAAGATGCTAAGCTGTGGAGTTCTCAGGGTCTTAATTTCCTTTAACTAAAGACCATAATGGTATGTCATCTTAGTTCTGTAAACAGGAATCCAGGGCACCCAATGTAATCAAAGGTAGCCAAAAGTCAGCCTCCCTTGGTTTTGCCTAGACTTAGAACTATTAAATTATTGCTTCCTACCAGGATAGACTTGGACAAACAACTCAAAATTAGATGAGTTCCTATAACATTGCTAAACTGCTCAGGGTATAGATGTGATCAAAAAGGAGTACTCTAAAAAGTGCCCCAAATTAGTTTGTGGCACTGTGATTTTACTATTTTCTATCAGCTTTTAAGCTGCTCTTCAGAAAACATAAACAGCATTTGTTTTAAAAATGTATTGCCTTTACAACAAAAAAAGCAAGTAAACTCAGACACTGAGAAGAGACTACGTGGCCAGTAGTTACCAAAAGGAAGGGTTGGGGAGGGTGGAGGGTGGGTGGGGAGGGAGAAGGGGATTATGGGCCCTATAATTCACAATCACAATATAAATAGGTCACTGGGACAGTAATACAGCACGGAGAATACAATTAATGACTCTATAACATCTTACTATGTTATAGACAGTGACTGCAATAGAGGGGGTGAGGTCTTGATAGTATGGGTGAGTGTTGAACCACTGTTTTGTTTATGTAAAACCATCATAAGATTGTATATCAATGATACTTTAATTTTAAAAAAGTATTGTAACAAATGAAATGCATGATACTTTTGGAACATCTAGAACCACGTTGTCCAGAGATAGTAAGTCATAAATATCGCTTAAATTTTCTAGTAGCCACATTACTAAAAAGTTTTTTTTTATTTGGAATTAATTATATTTATATATTTTAAACCCAATTATGGCCAAAATTTTGTTACTTCAAAATATAATCAATATAAAAAATAGAGATATTTAACTTTCCTTTTATAGTAAGTCTCTGAAAACCTGTGTTTTTCTATCTTAGTTTGGACTACCCCATTTCAAATGGTCAGTAGCCACATGTGGCTAGGGGCTGATATGTTGGAAAACACAGCTCTAGGAAATTACTATTCAAAGTGGAGTTCATTGGCCTGCATCAACCACATCACATGGGAATTTGTAGAATCTCAGCCCTACCCCAAACCTACTGAATTGGAATCTGCATTTTAACAAGAACTTTGTAAGATTCTTATGCACACTAAAGTTTGAGAAGCAGTATTCTGGAATGATGACCTTCCTGTACACTTACTTGGAGGAGAGTAAGAGGGACTGGACCAGGGATGGCTGAGGTCTAAAGTAAGACTAGGTAGACCAAGTAAAGCAAGTCTTGGGGTCAGCTAACTGAGGAGATCCAGGTAAGCGGTGAATCAGTGTCAGGGAGATTTGACGGCCGGAGACATTAGATCATGCTACCAGTGAATTCTGGAGTCTAGCCATGGATTGGTTTGTCACAGGTATAGAAATAGGCAAGAGATAGATAATCTAGCAAGGAGACTGAACATTGTCCTTCAGGAGTCTAGTAGCAGAAATGAGCAGAAGTTCAGGGTGGTGGTTCTAAGGCAAGGAAAGTAGCAGGGATCCAGCAACAGGAGGCTGAGGATTGGGGATAAGATTCTAGTCCCTAGGAGATAAGAGTGTCTACCCATGGGACTGGGATAGCAGACAAGGAACCTAGACAGAATCTCCCAGATGAAGAGCTCAAAAGAGATTCTTAATTGTTGGAACTAAAGTACAAACAAGAGGTTTGATCAAGAAAACAGAGCCTTACTCTAGAAACTGATAAGATTTGGTGGGACCTGCAACAGTAAATGGCTGCTAAGATGCTAAGCTGTGGAGTTCTCAGGGTCTTAATTTCCTTTAACTAAAGACCATAATGGTATGTCATCTTAGTTCTGTAAACAGGAATCCAGGGCACCCAATGTAATCAAAGGTAGCCAAAAGTCAGCCTCCCTTGGTTTTGCCTAGACTTAGAACTATTAAATTATTGCTTCCTACCAGGATAGACTTGGACAAACAACTCAAAATTAGATGAGTTCCTATAACATTGCTAAACTGCTCAGGGTATAGATGTGATCAAAAAGGAGTACTCTAAAAAGTGCCCCAAATTAGTTTGTGGCACTGTGATTTTACTATTTTCTATCAGCTTTTAAGCTGCTCTTCAGAAAACATAAACAGCATTTGTTTTAAAAATGTATTGCCTTTACAACAAAAAAAGCAAGTAAACTCAGACACTGAGAAGAGACTACGTGGCCAGTAGTTACCAAAAGGAAGGGTTGGGGAGGGTGGAGGGTGGGTGGGGAGGGAGAAGGGGATTATGGGCCCTATAATTCACAATCACAATATAAATAGGTCACTGGGACAGTAATACAGCACGGAGAATACAATTACTGACTCTATAACATCTTACTATGTTATAGACAGTGACTGCAATAGAGGGGGTGAGGTCTTGATAGTATGGGTGAGTGTTGAACCACTGTTTTGTTTATGTAAAACCATCATAAGATTGTATATCAATGATACTTTAATTTTAAAAAAGTATTGTCTTTCCTTAAGCAGTGGGCTTTAGAAGTCAAGAAGCCCAAAACTTGTCTCAGACCTTTTTACTGAGAACCTCATATAGAACATGTATAGGTGTTCTCATTTAATTGGTACATCACGTAGATTCCCCAGAGCTCTAAAACAGAAGTTAATAAATTCCTCTTCTGAGCCCTGAAAGATATGCCAATGTTCTGTTGATCTGTCAATGTTTTCTTCAGCTCGGTCTTTTCAAGTCATGCACAAGTTAATTTTCTCTTTTGAATTTAGTTAACAACCTTTATACATGTTCTTTTCCTACCAGAAAGAAAGACTGAAACCCGTATCTTGGTTGATGTCTACTTACCTAGTTCCCCTGCATTATTGCTGTAATTATTGGGCAGGCTACAACACTCAGTGGCTTGGTTTGTCACTCTGCAGCTTAGTTACTGTGTTCAGCGAATTTCCTCCTTGTCCCTACTCTGAATTGTTGAATTGTACCATTTACTCCTGATGCCTCCTAATCCATTTTGGTAGAGTACAGGTGGTATTTACATCTTCTCAAGGAGTGGTAGCTTCAGTTTTGTGGCCCTTTGGAGGGAATTTATATACAATGCAGGTAGCTTTTTGACACCTCTTTCCCCTAAACAGTAGGGTTGTTGTCAAGTGCTACGTGGTAATTAAAGCATCTGTATGGGTGGAAAAGGGGACCCTGACCCCTAAGTCTCCTTGAGCATACCTACCTACATTCACTTTCTCTGGTAGAAAGGCCAGGACTTTGCTGCAATTCAATCCTGGATCCAATATCACCTTCACTACTTGATTACTGTGTGATCTGGGACAAGCCTCTATGGTAAAATGAAGATAATACCTCAGGGTTGTTAATGTGAATGAAGAGAGGGCAATGCATGTTACAGGACCTGACAGTAAAAAGCATTCTCTCTGTCTGCTGGTTCACCATTCTCACTGCCTTTTCAACTCCTTTAATTTTTTCTTTCCTGGCTCTTTTCAATGTCAGTATCTGTTCTCTATGCCATTCCAGTCACCTCCCTCACTGGAATAGTATGTCCTTTATAATGGCAGCTATTGTATTTTGCTTTTCCATTGAATCCCCTGCATCTAGAATGGTAATGAACATGTTATAAACATTGGTTGTAAGAGTGAATCGCTGCTTTTAGTTATCACCACAGCTCTCTTTCCTTTTTTTCCTTTCTACCTCTCTTTTCTCTCTTTTTCTTCCTAAGGGAACATTGATCTTCATAGACACCACCAGCCAGTGGGAGCAGTCTTTTCCTTTGTAGAGGAAGCTGATTCATTAGAATATGTTGCCTATGTTCTTCAAGTCTTCTTAGCCATATTCATTGTCTGAGATAACCAACAAAATTGTTCTACATTCAGAGCCATTCTTGGAGCCTTCTTCATTCCTTAGACTTCTAGAGAGAAGCTTGGTTAGGCCAGACACTATGTCAGGCATTGTGAATATAAAAATTAACATGTTTTCTCCCTGCCTTCGGTTTCTTAAAACATTTTTATAGAATTTAATTCACATTCTATAAAATTCACCCATTTAAAGTGTACAATTCAGTTTTTTCTAGTATATTCACAGAGTTACTCAATCATCACAACAATCTAAGTTTAGAATTTTCATCACCCCCAAAAGAAACCTTGTACCCATTAGCAGCTACTCCCCATTCCCACCTCCTCCTAGGCAACCCCAAGTCTACTTCCTGTCTCTAGATTTGTCTATTTGACATTTCATATAAATGGAAACGTACAATATGTGGCCTTTTGTGTTTGGTGTCTTTCACTTCCATAGTGTTTTCAAGTTTCATCCATATTGTAGCTTATATCAGTACTTCATTCCTTTTTATGACTGAACAATATTCTGTTGTGTGGATATACTACATTTTATTTATTTATTCATTAGTTGATGGACATTTGGATTGTTTCTGCCTATTGACTATTATGAATAATGCTGCTATGAACATTTATGCACATGTTTTGTGTGGATTTATGTTTTCATTTCTCCTGGGAAGAAACCTAGGAGTAGAACTGCAGAGTCATATGGTAACTGTTTAACATTTTGAGGAACTGCCAAACTGTTTTTTAAAGTGGCTGCATCATTTTATATTTCTACAACCAATGAATGAAGATTTCACTTTCTCCACATCTTCTCCAATACTTATTTTATTATCTGTCATTTTGATTATAGCCATCCTAGTGGTTGTAAAGTGGCATCTCATTGTGGATTTAATTTGCATTTTCCTAATGACTAATGATATTGAGCATCTTTTCATATGCTTTTTGACCATTTGTGTATCTCCTTTGGAGAAAATGTGTATTCAGATCCTTTACCCATTTTTTTTAAGTTGGATTATTTCTGTTTATTATTAAGTTATTAGAGTTCTTTATATATTCAGGATATAAGTCCCTTATCAGATAAATGATTTGCAGATATTTTCTCATTCTGTGGATTGTCCTTTCACTTTGTTCATGGTATTGTTTGTAACACAAAAGTTTTTCAGTTTGATGTAGTCCAATGTATCTATTTTTTTCTTCAGTTACTTGTGCTTTTGGTGTTTATTTAAGAAATTGTTGCTTAACCCAGGGTCACAAAGATTTATAGTCTTAGTTCTTACATTTAGTCCTGTGATTCATTTTGAGTTAATGTTTCTGTATTGTGTTGAGGTATAGGAATCTAGCTTCATCTTTTTTTGCATGTGGATATCTAGTAGTCCCAGCACTATTTGTGGAAAGACTATTTGTTTTCTATTTAATTGTCTTGGCACCATTGTTGAAAATCAATTGACCATAAATGTGTGGATTTTTCTGCACTCTCAATTCTATTCCATGGATATATATGTCTGTCCTTATGCCATCACCACACTGTCTTAATTACTGCAGGTTTATAGTAATGTGCTTAGTTTTTAAACTAATTATAATCATTTTACTTGAACTACTTACCATTTGTGTCTGATTATGCAGCATGAAATAATTATGGATATATCATTAAGTATGCCATATTAACTTTTTAATAAGTTTTATTTGATCATAACAGTAAGCCATATGCATGTAAGTTCAGTTTTCATAGATCATTGCTTATGTAGTTTGATTTTCTGCTTATGCACTCCTAAAAACAATTAAAGAAAGCCATTGGTTTTAATTCACCTGCCATTACCTTTAAAATGGCTCTTAAGGGCAGTTGTGAGATTATCTTTTCATGGCTATTTGCCTTTTGAATATTCTTTCTACAAAAAAGTAACTTGAATTGTTCTTTTCATTCTTTATAATTTACAGATTTTGTATGCTGAAACTTCTCAACCAGAAGAAAGGACCTTCACAATGTCCTTTGTGTAAGAATAATATAACCAAAAGGTATATAATTTGGGTACTAATGGGAGGTTGGAAGCAACAGGAAAAAGTAGAAATTCCTTAATAACATAGCTGGTCATAAGAAAGAAAGAAATCCTGCCATTTGCAACAACAAGGATGGAGCTAGAGTGTATTATGCTCAGTGAAATAAGTCAAGCATAGAAAGACAAATACTAAATGATTTCCCTCATTTGTGGAGTGTAACAATGAAGCAAAACTGAAGGAACAAAACAGCAGCAAACTCACAAACTCCAAGAAGAGACTAGTGGTTACCAAAGGGGAGGGGTGGGGAGGGAGGAAAAAGGGGATTAAGGGGTATTATGATTAGCACACATGGAGTGGGGGGATCATGGGGAAAACAGTGTAGCACAGAGAAGACAAGTAGTGCCTCTGTGGCATCTTACTACACTAATGGACAATGACTGCAATGGGGTATGGGGGGTACTCGATAATATGTATGAATGTAGTAACCACATTGTTTTTCATGTAAAATCTTCATGAGAGTGTATATCAATGATACCTTAATAAAAAATAATTAATTAAAAAATAATTATTATAACATCTGGTGTTCCTATCAAACCATTCATCAGTAGAAAAATGTATAAAAGAGTTTTTACAGTCTTTAGATGACGGAGTAAATTTCTGAAGTTATTTTCCTGCAAGTTCTGTGGTACATCTGTATGCCTTATACAGTAACTAGCAGTTCGTTGCCTTTTTCTAATGCTTCTGAATGCTGAAAGAACTGGTCTTATCTAAAGTAGGACTGTACCACCTGACCCCTGTTGTCTCTAGATCCTTAGTTTTTTCTTCTTTGCATTTGTTTCTACTTAATTACTTACAGACAATGTATTTATGTATTGTGCATCCCTCCAGCCAGGATGTGAGCTCTTGTTAAGGTATTGGCTTTGTCTGTCTGAGTCAACAGTGTTTTTTCAGTGTTTGGCACCTGGTAGTCACTTGGGTATTTAAAAGGATAAATAAATCATATTGCCCTACAACTTCCCTAAACCAAAATCTCTTTGGATAGTATCATCTATCTCAATTTTTGAAATACTGTAATGATCATTTGAAAGAAATCCCTGAAAGGTAGAAGTTGGAGGTTGGGTGGATGGGGTTCATATGTTAAGAATAGCAAGTTCTCATGGGAACCCTCCTACACTGTTGGTGGAAATGTAAGTTGGTGCATCTGTTGTGGAAAGCAATATGGAGGTTCCTCAAAAAACTAAAAATAGAAATACCATTTGACCCAGTAATTCCATTCTGAGGAATTTACCCAAAGAAAACAAGATCCCTGATTCAAAAAGACATGCACCCCTATGTTTATCACTGCACTATTTACAATAGCCAAGATTGGGAAGTGACCTAAGTGTCCATCAGTAGATGAATGGATAAAGAAGATATGGTACATATATACAATAGAATATTATTCAGCCATAAAAAATAAAGAAATCCTCCCATTTGCATAGATATTATATTCTTTGAATATAGTTTTCTACTATTGCTGCATATAGAGGATGGCTCTAGATGGTATTATGTTCAGTGAAATAAGCCAAATGACAGAGAAAGACAAATACAAAATGATTTCACTTGCTTGTGGTGTATAACAACAAAGCAAAACAGAAGGAACAAAATAGCGGTAGACTGATAGACACCGAGAAGGGGCTGGTGGTTACCAAAGGAGGAGATAGGGAGGGTGGGGAGTGGAGAGAGAAGGGGATTAAGGGAAACAATAATTTGCAATCATAGTATAGATTGGTATTGGGGATGATAGAACAGCACAGAGAATACAGTTAATGATTCTGTAACATCTTACTGTGTTGGTGGACAGTGACCACACTGCAAGGGGTGAGGGACTTGATAATATGGGTGAATGTTGAACCACTGTGTTGTGTATTTGAAACCAACGTAAGATTATCAATGATACTTTAATTTTAAAAAAAGGGATAGCAAATTCTCTATGTAATGGATCTCTACTAAGGATTCAGAGTAAAAGTGTTTTAGGTAGTTAGAGGCTTTTGGTGGGCTTGAATGGCAAAAGTGTAACAACATCCAGTACTGCTACACAGTTTGTTCTGATGTCAATGATGTTTTGGTTATAGTATGACATCACTAATAACTGTTCTTTGAATATAGGTTTTCTATTATTGCTGCATATTTTTTTTGTTTACATATCTTTCCTTATTTTAGTGTTCTAGAAAAGTTGTTAATCACTTGCTAAGTGTATCTCAAACAATTTTAATTTCAGAAGCCTACAGGAAAGCACAAGATTTAGTCAACTTGTTGAAGAGCTATTGAAAATCATTCATGCTTTTGAACTTGACACAGGATTAGAGTGTAAGTGTTGCATAATCCCAGGGGCCATTACTCAAGTGGCTGTCCATTAAAACTCAGGACGTTTGAGCAGTTATTTTCATGAATAGGTGATAAGACCTTTTTGGTCTAGGTTAATTTTGGCTCTTTCATCTATAATCTATTTTTTAAATCACTCCCACCAGTCTCTCACCTTATTTTATTGACCCTAAGGTGCACATTTTTCACATTTTAGCATCTTCAAAATTGAGAGCAATTTACCATCGATTGTGTGTCATTGTTTAATTTATTGTTTTCTTTTTTAGTGGTACAGAAAATAATGGTGTATCTTACATCACTGGTAACTTAGATTCAATGAAATATGGTATTATAGCCAAATTTTTTAGTATTAAGATGGAAAGAAAAGATTAGAAGTAACTTAGATGGTCTCTGTGTTTGTTTCCCAGGAGTAGAATTTCCAAAGTTGATTTTTTTTAAAATTGTTGGTAACCCTTAAAGCATCATCTTAGCACAATAAAGAGTATACCCAGGATTTCTCTTGGTTATTGATCACAAATAACACTTTTTTTCTAACTACAAAAATAATGTTTTCCCTTGTAATTCACAGTTACAAACAGTTACAACTTTTCAAAAAAGGAAAATAACTCTCCTGAGCATTTAAAGGAGGAAGTTTCTATCATCCAGAGTATGGGCTACCGAAACCGTGCCAGAAGACTTCGACAGAATGAACCTGAAAATCCTACCTTGGTAAAGCCATTTTCATTTATTCTGGTAACATCTCTTTGTTGAGCAGTGTGAATTAGTGGATGTGCTAGATGCTCATGGGTTTATGTAAAAAGTCAGTAAACAAAGTAAAATAAATTCAGTGATTGGACAAGTGTTCTAATAAGCAGGAGTTAGAGGAGTTGAGAGAAGGCCTGCATACCTGGCAAGAGAGGCAAGAGAGGCAAGAGAGACCTTATACAGCTTTTCCCCCACTTTGGTGCTTTATTCCATTCTGATGCTTGTCTAAAATAGCCACAAAGTCCCTGATGGTTGTAAGTTTTAAGCTTGCTAGTTTTCTTAATTTTTGTGTTTTTTTAATTCAATTAATTTTAATTTCAATAATTTTTTATTGATGTACATACAATAAATGCACAAATCTTGGTGTATAGCTCAATGAATTTTGACATGTGTATACACTCACATAACCATCACCAAGCGTTCCCATGAATTTTTTTTTGCCTTCACCTATTTCACCCATTCTCCTACCCCTTTAAGCTTGCTAGTTTTTAAAATAATCATTTTTCAGCAATTCTCCAGGCATGAGGAAGTAGCTTCCTTTTTATATCCTCTGAGAAGTTGCCTGAAAAAAAATCCGTTTTTAACATTTGAAAATCACTTCAGTTAAAAGGTATAATTGTCAAAAAAAAAATGCAGTGATTTGCTCTGTTGCAACTCATGTGAATGAATAATGGATATCTTAAAAATAATAGTATTCATGGTTCCAGCATTCATTGTTCAGTAGATGTTGAAAGGCTCAAAAGAAGGAAAGCTTCATCAAAGTAATGTTGGGTTTTTAAGTATTCTTTCCTGTACTGAATGTTCTTAGGATTTCTGGTTTTTTTTTGTTTTCATTTATCTTTTTTAAAATTTTATTTTATCTTATTGCCAACCCTATTATCAGATGTTATTGGAAATGTTTACTAAGTGAATCTCATTCCCTAACTGTACTGAAAAGTGTTAGTTTCAAAATATGCTTCTCTTATACTTAAAATATTACATATTCAGATAATTCATATTCAGTTTAGAAAATTTAAAACAATAGAGAGGAAAAAAATTATTCAAACCACTCATAACTCATACATTTTGGTATATGGTTTTCCAAGTGTTTTTTCCAGGTGTCGTAAATGTTAGCTAATTGATTATGATTTTTTTTGCCCATGGCCTTGAGTTTCTCCTTAGGGAAAAAAAATGCACAGACCAACAATTAGTTGATCATTCTTTACTGTACTGCTTAGCAGGAAACCAGTCTTAGTATCCAACTCTCTGACCTTGGAATTGTGAGATCTCTGAGAACAAAACAGCAGATACAACCTAAGAATAAGTCTGTCTACATTGAATTGGGTAAGAGGCTAAGATTTCATAATTTTAGAATTAGAGTTGCTGTTTTCTTTGTCTTATTGTTTTACCAAAAACCTTGGTCATAATTTATACAATGGCAGAGACCTTTGGGAAGTGAAAATAAAATAATTTTACTAGTGTTTTGGTGTATTATAAGTAATGTAAAAGATGTAGCTCTCAGCTTGAAGACCCTTACTTTATAAAGATAGCAAAAGAAAGATTGGTTATAAGAATGTGTGAATAGATTTTGAAAAGATGGAGAACAGATATGAAAGAACACAATGGGCTGGCTACAGTACTTGGAGGGATCTAAGGTAAATTATGGTCAACTAGACTTTCAAGAAGAACTGAGTTCAATTCAAATAGACCTCTCTAATTGTCTTATCTTTTAGAATATAATTGTGAAGAGTGACCCTTCTTTGGGCTCCCAGACACCATCATATGTTTACCATAGCACTTGCTGTGTCCTTCTGAAGTTACTTGTATGTCTTTCCCCCTCTTAAAATCGTAAGTCCCTTAACAACAGGTGTTATGGCATGAATCAAAATAATTATAACAACAAATATTTAGGAGTTCTTCCTATAGTCCAGGCACTTTTGCGCTTTATTAGTGTAACTCATTTAAGATGCATGACAAACCTCTGAGGTAGTTACTATTATACCTATTTTAGAGGTAAAGAAATTTTGCCAAAGTAGTAAAGCTAGTAAGTGGTGGAGCTATGATTCACATCTAGGAATTCTGGCTTCAGAACCTGTGCTTATAATAACCACTTCTCTGTAATGCCTGACAGGTGTCATTGTGCCTGCCATATATTGAGTGCTCTGTAATATTTCTTATATGAATATCTGTTGTGCAACAAGTATATTTTTTTATTTTAAAAGTTCCAATAAAAATCCTTTTATTGTTATTTGGGGAAATTTTTTTAGGATCTGATTCTTCTGAAGAAACAGTAAATAAGGCAGATTGTTGCAGGTAAGTCAAAGCAAGCCTTTGTCTAAGAAGCTCTCATTTTGTACTAAGTTAATATTAAGATTGTTACTTCTTTAAGTTAGAATTTACTACTTTAATCTTCTTATTTTATAGCTTAGAAAATACCCTTTTGTTTGTTTTATTTCTTAGTAAGGAATTCAAAAGAGTTTAAAATAACAGAACTCTGCACAGACTTGCTTCCAGCAGATGGTTATGCTCTAGCTTAGTTCCTCATGTACAATAGTATTGACAGAGTAGTAATTATGGCAGATGAAAGCATTAAAAGACTGTTTTCAATTCTTTCCTTCCCATTTCTTTTTTTTATTGAAGTATAGTTGATATACAATATTATATTGGTTTTAAGTATACAACATTGTGTTCAACAGTTATATACATTATTAAATCCTCACCCCTCCTAGTGTAGTTACTATTTGTCAACAGAAAGATGTTACCCTTCTCTCTTTCTTAATCCCATCCTTCAAACTTTATCTGCATAAATTATACAGTAATTTAAGTATCCTGCATCTGGGTTACCTGTCAGATTGCTTTCCTTGGGAGTTATTGCTTGGTCCTAAGATCTGTGATTGCTTGTCTAAAGCCAGGTGTTTTCATTGTCAATCAGATTTTGTTTGCAAATGACCTTTTCCTAATCTCTCAATTGGGAGGAAATGGTTTTTAGCCTGAAAAGAAGCACCAAAGGCAGTGGGCTGTGTGCCAAGTGGTACATTCTTTGCATTCTATTGGAATGTCTGCTCCATCCGAGTGCCCCCTTTGTTTAGATATCTTTATTCTTATATTCTCATTAAGATATACTTTTAAGTTTTGTTTTGTTTTTTCCTTTGCTATCTTCTGGCTATTGTTTGGCTATCACTTAAATTTTGATTCTCATTTGCATGTCTATAAAGCAATGTTCTGCACTACTGCTTTGAATTATGTGATTGTGTCCTCAGTCTTTGACCATTCTGTTGTGAGTAGATGTTACTTAAGGAGAGAGCAGATTTCAAAAAGTGAATCAAATTGATCAGTTCACTGCAACCCTATCTAGAGGAGCTAAAATACTTGATTTTGCTCATTTGACAACTCTAACATGAATAGTGTTTCTCATTAAGACTCTGTCTTTTCCTTATAGTGTGGGAGATCATGAACTGTTACAAATTACCCCTCAAAGTGCCAGGGCTGAAGCCAGTGTGAATCCTGGAAAAAAGGGTAATGGCAAGTCTTCCACAGGCACTGGAGAGAGAATGGGTAGATATAGTACTGTAATTAGATTATTCAGAAGACCATTTGGGACATTTATAATTCACATCTCTTGGCAAAATTAGAAAATCTTTATCAGATGTCATGGTACAGCTTGATCTATTTCAATAGCTCTAGACTGATGTAATTGTAATGGTACCCTATGTAATTGGTTATTGCCTTTTACTTTTAATTGATGTGTTTATATTCCATCATTTGCTGTATGGCTGTTTAATATAGGGACTATGCATCTGAAGATAGAGCGTTCTATGTCTGATGCTCAACAGTCTGCTCTTAGTTCACTGTTAGAGGTCATGGAAATAGGAGGTGTGGTTTATAAATAGGGAGAATTCTGAAATTTAATTATCTTGAGTGGAAATAATGAATATCTAGCTAAATAGAAATTAATTGAAAGAGTATGAGCTACATCTTCAGTATCCTTGGTAGTATATGAGGTTAGTTTCTCTAAAAAGAGCCAATTGCTTTATTCTACCCCCAAGTTGTATTTAAGTATGTGTTTTTTCATGATAATTTAGTTTGTACATATGGTTGTTTTTGTATATTTTCAGCTGCTTGTGGGTGTTCTGAAAAGGACATAGCAAATCTTGAACCTCATCAGTCCAGTAATAAAGATTTGACCACTGCTAAGAAGCATTCAACTGAGCAGCATCCAGAAAAGTATCAGGGTATTTCTGTTTCAAACTTGCATGTGGAGCCATGTGGCACAGATACTCATGCCAGCTCATTACAGCATGAGAACAGCAGTTTATTACTCACTAAAGACAGAATGAATGTAGAAAAGGCTGAATTCTGTAATAAAAGCAAACAGCCTGGCTTAGTGAGGAGCCTGCAAAGCAGATGGGCTAAATGTAAGGAAACATATAACGATAGGCAGGCTCTCAGCACAGAGAAAAAGTTGGCTCTGAATGCAGATCCCCTGTATGGGAGAAAAGAACTGAATAAGCAAAAACCTTTGTGCTCTGACAGTCCTAGAGATTCTCAAGATGTTCCTTGGATAACACTAAATAGTTGCATACAGAAAGTTAATGAGTGGTTTTCCAGAAGTGATGAAATGTTAACTTCTGATGATTCATGTGATGGGAGGTCTGAATCAAATACTGAAGTAGCTGGTGCAGTAGAAGTTCCAAATGAAGTAGATGAAAATTGTGGTTCTTCAGAGAAAATAGACTTAATGGTCAGTGATCCTCATGATGCTTTAATATGTGAAAGTAAAAGAGGCCATTCCAAACCAGTAGAGAGTAATATTGAAGATAAAATATTTGGAAAGACCTACCGGAGGAAGGCAAGTCTCTCTCACTTGAGCCGCATAACTGAAGATCTAATTATTGGAACATCTACAGTAGAACCTCAGATCACACAAGAGTATCCCCTCACAAATAGACTAAAGCGTAAGAGGAGAACTACATCAGGCCTTCATCCTGATGATTTTATCAAGAAAGTAGATTTGGAAGTTGTTCAAAAGACTGAAAAGATAACTGAGGGAACTGACCAAATAGAGCATAATGGTCTTGTGATGAATAGAACAAATAACGGTCATAATAATGAAACAAAAGGTGATTATGTTCAGAAAGAGAAAAATGCCAACCCAACAGAATCATTGAAAAAAGAATCTGCTCTCAGAACTAGAGCTGAACCTATAACCAGCAATATAAGCAATATGGAACTAGAATTAAATATCCATAGTTCAAAAGTACTTAAGAAGAATAGGCTGAGGAGGAAGTCTTCTACCAGGCACATTCATGCACTTGAATTAGTAGTCAGTGGAAATCCAAGCCCCCCTAAACATACTGAACTACAAATTGATAGTTGTTCTAGCAGTGAAGAGATGAAGAAAAACCAAATACCAGTCAAACATGCCAAAAAGCTCCAACTCAAGGAAGATAGACTTGCATTTGGAGCCAAGAAGAGTAACAAACTAAATGAACAAATAAGTAAAAGATTTACCAGTGACACTTTTCCAGAACCAAATTTAAAAAACATACCTGGTTTTTTTACTAAATGTTCAAGTTCTAATAAACTTCAAGAGTTTGTTGATCCTAGCCTTCAAAGAGAAGAAATAGAAAAGAATCTAGAAACAATTCTTACCAAAGTCCCCAAAGATGTGATATGTAGAGAAGGAGGTTTGCAAACTGAAAGATCTTTAGAGAGTAACAGTATTTCATTGGTACCTGATACTGATTCCGCCACTCAGGATAGTATCTCATTACTGGAAGCTGACACCCTAGGGAAAACAAAAACAGCACCAAATCAATGTGCAAGTCTGTGTGCAGCAATTGAAAACCCCAAGGAACTTACCCATTATGGTTCTAAAGATATTAGAAATGATACAGAGAGCTTTAAGGATCTATTAAGACATGAAGATAACCACACTCAGGAGACAAGCATAGGAATGGAAGAGAATAAACTTGATAAGCAGTACTTACAGAATACATTCAAGGTTTCAAAGTATCAGTCGTTTGCTCAGTTTTCAAATATGGGAAATCCAGAAAAAGAATGTGCAGCAGTCAGTGCCCATTCTGGGTCCTTAGGGAAACAAAGTCCAAAAGTCACTCTTACATATGGACAAAAAGAAGAAAATGAGGGAAAGAAAGAGTCTGAAATCAAACATGTTCAAACAATTCATACAACTGCAGGCCTTCTTGTGGTTAGTCAGGAAGATGAGAAGCCAGGTGATTATGTAAAATTTGGCATAAAAGGAGTCTCTAGGCATTGTCAGTCATCTCAGTTCAGAGGCAATAAAACTGAACTTATTTTTGCAAATAAACCTGGAATTTCACAAAACTCCTATCACATACCATCAGTTTCTCCCATCAGGTCATCTGTTAAAACAATATGTAAGGAAAACCTGTCAGAGGAAAAGTCTGTGGAACATTTGATGTCATCTGAAAAAGCAATGGGAAACAAGCGCATCATTCAAAGTACTGTGAGCACAATTAGCCAGAATAACATTAGAGGAAGCAGTTGTAAAGATGGCAGCTCCAGCAGTGTTAATGAAGTAGGTTCCAGTACTGATGAAGTAGGCTCTAGTATTAATGAAGTAAGTTCCAGTGGTGAAAACATTCAAGCAGAACTAGGTAGAAACAGAGGACCTAAATTAAGTGCTGTGCTCAGATTAGGTCTTATGCAACCTGAAGTCTATAAGCAAAGTCTTCCTATAGGTAATTGTAAACACCCTGAAATTAAAAGACAAGGAGAAAAAGAAGGATTAATTCAGGTTGTTAATGCTAATTTCTCTCCATGTCTAATTTCAGATAACCTAGAACAACCTATGGGAAGTAGTCATGCTTCTCAGGTTTGTTCTGAGACACCTGATGACATATTAAATGGTGATGAAATAAAGGAAAATATCAGCTTTACTGAAACTGGTATTAAGGAAAAATCTGCTGTTTTTAGCAAAAGTGTCCAAAAAGGAGAATTCAGAAGGAGCCCAAGCCCTGTAGTCCATACAAGTTTGTCTCAGAGTCATCAAAGAGGAGCTGGGATAGTAGAGTCTTCAGAAGAGAGCATGTTTAGTGAGGATGAAGAGCTTCCTTGCTTCCAGCACTTACTGTTTGGTAAAGTAACCAGTACACCTTCTCAATCCACCAGTCATAATGCTGTTGCCACAGAAGGTCTGTCTAAGAAAACAGAGGAAAACCTAGTGTCATTGAAGAATAGCTTAAATGACTGCAGTAACCAGATAACATCAGCAAAGGCATCCCAGGAACATCACCTTAGTGGGGAAGCGAGATGTTCTAGTAGCTTATATTCTTCACAGTGTAGTGCTTTGGAAGACTTGACTGCTAATACAAACAACCAGGATCCTTTCTTGATGCTTGATCCTCCTTCCAAACAAGTGAGCCATCAGTTTGAAATCCAGGAAGTTTTGAGTGACAAGGAATTGGTTTCAGATGATGATGAAAAGGGAACTTGCCTGGAGGAGGATAATCCCCAAGAAGATCAGAGTGTGGATTCAAACTTAGGTATTGGAACCAGTTTTTTGTGTTAGCCCTCATCTACTTTATAGAAAAGAGCTAAATGTTTATTTTATGAGTTTCCAAGTACAGTTAAAGTAACTGCTTCTTAAACTTTAAACATGGTCCTCCTAAAATGCTTTTCCTTAAAAGTCCTTCACCTAGCTAGAACATCTTCTCTATTTGACTGAGATTTAATGCCCTAATTGTTAGTAGACCTGTTTCTGGGTTTTTTTGTTAAATGATTTCTAAGGAAATCTGGGTGTTCCAGCACAAGGAATATAATCATTTTGAGTGACATGAAAGTGAAAGTTGTACTGCCAATGGGAAGAAACAGATCCAGCAAGTTGGAGTATTTGCTGTTTGGTTTTACACCTGAATCTCTATTCTTACTATAATTTAAGGTGAAGCAGCATACGGGTACGAGAGTGAAACAAGCCTCTCTGAAGCCTATTCAGTGCAGTCCTCTCAGAGCGGAATTTTAACCACTCAGGTAAAAAGCATGTTTGGATGTGTTATGTGTGGTGAACTCTGCATTCAGTAGTAGCATCTTGCATTCTTAACATTTGCTTATGTAATCCCTTAGAATTAATGGTGTAACAGTTGTGTGTGGTATCTTGTCTCCTCAAGTTAGATTGTAAGCACCTGGATGGACCTCGTGCTATTTTTTATTTCATACACACCACCTTGCTCAGTGCAGAACACTAAATAACTGAATTTAAGGAGTAAGCTAGGCCGTTAACACCCATTTGCACTATAAAAAAACATGTGAAAGTATTTCTGTATCACAGAGAGGGGTGTTTATTCTCAGTACCAAACTGGAGCTACAGAATTCCCTTCCAATTAGAGACTGTCATATTGGTATATATTCCACTAATCATACCTTTCACTGTTTTGTGGATATTTCTTTTTTAATCTGCTAGTTCTTTCATGCCTGTAAGTCATCTTTTTTCTTTAAGAACGAAAGTACACCATTTTACTTCCTGTACCTATTGGTTAAGACCAATATTTTGCTTACTTATAAAGGGGATAACAGTTTTGTCATATCTACAGCATTTGGTAACATGAGTATTTCAGTACTCCAGGCAGAATAGTCTCCTAGAAAAAGCATTCTCTATCACAACATTTAAAAATTAACATCATCTTCCTCACAGAACCAGTTTTATAGCAGTTGCCTTCAGGTCGGGAAATAGATGACTGGGAAAAGAGTAAGGAGGAAGTCTTACTTTTTTCTGAATATCCTTTTGTACCATGCATTTATATTAATTATTTAAAATACTGAGTTCTATGAGTTATCCAGAAATAATCACTATTAACTTTTTGGTATATATTTCACTCATCTTCCTAAAGATGTGTGTGTGTATACTTTATCTTTAAAAAATATTCAGGTAATAACTCTATATCATAACTTACATCATAACAAAGTTTTTACTGTGTCATTAAATTTTCTTCAGTGACTTTATTTTTTAATTATTATATAGTCTTCTAACCTTTGCATGGCCATGACTTATTTGACCTATTGCTGAATATGAGGGTTTCAGGGTAGGAGACACAGTTTGCTCTTATGAACAGCACTGTAGTAGTATCTTGATAGCTTAATATTTTCCCACATCCCCAATAATTTCCTAAGTATAAATTCCTAGGACTGTAATTTTTGGTCTTTGATACATATTAAATTGTTCTTTAGCAAGATTGAGCCAACCTATGCTCTTCAAGCCATTATGGTACTTGATAGTTCCCGATTTCCTTTACCATTGCCAGCACTGGGTGGTGTGCAGTTTAATAATCTTCTAAATCTTGGCATTGCTCTGAGGATTGTAGATAGAGAGGGCTTGTCTTCTACTGCCTCTTTTCTCTGCAGAGCAATTCCCTCTAGCACTGAGGCCTGCTGGTGTCACGCCTTGAGACAACTACCTATTCAGTACCTGAGTTGTCACTGGTATTCTTCATGTCTGTAAGATTGCCATGGTGACTAAATTAATTAAAAGACTTAGGAGGCCTTTTCTCTGCATCCTATAATCTTTTCTGGGTGTGCATTTGGGCCTCTGTCAACATGTCTTTCACCTTTTTGTCTCTTGTGCTTTAAAGTTGTAGTTTCCAGTTTCTGATTCCACCTGCTTTAGCCATATTGTTATAGTTGACATTCAATAACCTACCTCCTTGTTTTTCATATTCCTTGATCTTATTCCCAAAGATATGTATATTTGTTCAAAATTGATTTTACAGTGTTTTTATCAAGAATCCACCCAAAAAAGAGCTGATGTCAGATTTCAGGGCAACTTAAAACTAGAGCAGCACAGACAAGCAAAATGATTGAAGTGAGATCTTTTCCCTCTGTTTATCTAGAATTGAGGAGAAGTATATAGGATATAGGGAAATCCTAATTTGGCATCGTTAGTTTCTTTTTTTAATCAAAGACTAACTACATTCATTAATTCATTTCTGAATTAAACGTTTACTGAGTACTTACTATCTGCTGGTGTTGGGGATACAAAAATGACCAGGGAAGGATTCCTCCCATCAAGAAGGGTCATGTATTCCTCAATATACTAACGCATTAGCAGTGTCAACGAAGTAGTGAGGGATCATCTGTTCCTAATAGGAGGTGTATTACTGATGAAAACTTCCGAAGCAGAGGTTATCTTTCAAGCTGGACCTTGAAAGATGAGAATTTTTCCAGGTAAAGGGAGGCAGCAATCAAGGCAAAGGCACAGAGGCATGAAAATGCCCAGGAAGCACAGAGTTGTCCTGTATGACTGGAAAACAGAGCATATGTGTGGTTTGGGGAAGAAATAAGAGATTAAATCAGCATGTGAAGGGCCTTTTGAATACTATGCTTAGGGATTTGGACTTTATCCTGAGGGCAATAACGAGCAATAATTATGCTTGTTTAGGAAGTATCAATATCTGAGCAGTGGTATACCACTAAGATCCTTATGGAAGAAAGATATAAACATGGCTTTTAGGGAACTTCCATAGTAATGTAGCTGTATTAAAAGTAGAGGTCAGAGTAGCATAGTGGGAATATAAGAGTAGGGCTAATTCAAGAAACACTTAAGAATTAGAATCAAGACAACTTGGATAACCAATTTGGTTTTGCTCTCCTAAATGTATTTGGCCAATTGCCTACAGGGGCATTTATCCAAATTATAAAGTAATTCCTTTGGGGAAATCCAGTGGAAAGTTATCAAAGTATAATTCTCCCACTGCTATTTTCTTTTTCTAATCTATTTAATGACCACACAGAGGTTAGATGTTTTGGTTGTGACAGCCATGACTGACACAGCTTCGAAGCCTTTTCAGCTGTATGTGTGGTTTTATTCCACATTTACCGAGGCAAGCCCTTGGCTAGGGTTCACTCAGTGATGGAACTACTCACAGTCACCACGTGGTGGCAGTGACAGTGCTGCAGACATTGGCAGCAAAGCCTCTCAGGGAGGAGTGGGAGCCTTTCAGAAGCTGGGAATGCATTTTCGGATCTTAAAAACCTCCTGGAAGCTATGAACTCAGTGTTGCAGGAGGAAGTAGATAGCTTGTTTTTAGTAGAGGGCAAAGTCATTTTCAAGGATCAGAAGAAGAAGAAACAGAGGGTGAAACAGTCTATTTGCTGGCAACCATTGATGTTCCTTCTAAAAGTGATAAAGAATGTATATTTTGGAAAGTTCATTACTTAACAAATGCTTTGCTCATCAGAAACCTTAGATTTAGCAGATTTCTTCCTGAAAGGGAGAAATAAACATCAGGAGTCCGATAGGCAAGAAGAACTGATTATCTGAATTGAAAACAATAACTGTTTGCAGGCTTTCCTAGGACTCTTTCTGTTAGATCCTTTCCTCTAGCAGGTCCTTCTCTGTGATGGTCTCCAGGTCCCTGGTCCCCATCTAGAATGGCAGCACCGTAATAGCTGTATCTATAGCACTAAGACAGTGCCTGGCATATAACAGATGATCAACAAATAGTTGTTAAATGAACAAATAGATAAATAAATTAATTTATCTTTGCTGTTTCTGTTCAAAATTAAATGTTCAAAGAATCCCAGAAAAGGAAGAGTCCTCATAAGCCAGAAATCATAGACATTTCTATATGGACTAACTCAAATCTCTTAAGAGTCCCACATTACCAAATCTTTGAAACACAGCCTGTGTAAATGTTAACAGAGTCATGCTAATTTTAAATACAAAAGTGGTTAAGGACCTTAATTATTTTTTTCCAGTCCTTTAAAAAAAAAATAGCCAACTTCAAAAGGACATCATAATAAACCAAGTCTATTTGGGTGAATTTGAAGACTTTTTTCCCCCTCTAACATCATTCTGAAATTATTTCATGGGAATTAATTGCCTGAGTATGGTTAGATTAGAAGGTGTTAACTCATAATTCCATACTAGATTATTTCAATTCCCATGTTAAAATTAACTGGGGTGACATATTCTTGTTTTCTGGCAAGTTTCTAAAAAAGTATAACTTTTTTGGTGTTATTTCTTGTGTTTGCAGCAGAGGGATACCATGCAAGATAACCTCATAAAGCTCCAACAGGAAATGGCCGAACTGGAAGCTGTGTTAGAGCAGCACAGCAGCCAACCTTCTAACAGCCCCCCTTTCCTCATAGCTGATTCTTGTGCCCCTGAGGACCAGCTAAATCTGGAACAAAACACATCAGAAAAAGGTTTGTAATATTGGCCAAGCTCTGTTATCTTAAGCAAAATTCTTCTCCCTAAGCCTTTGTAACCTGAAAAGTGTGGACCTGGCTCCAACATTTTATGATCTTTCCTCCGTGTATATTTGCTGAGTCAATCCGTGGGTAATTTTAGAGCCTTAGTTCTAGTCCCTGCTCAGAACTAATTTACTATTCAGAGTAGATCAAGATAATCATTAAGTATTATTGTTTGACTGAGTGCCTACAATGAGGAGATACTGTGGGGAACCCGTAGGAAGCTGAATATAATGGAGAATATTGGAAATGGTAACCTGATCATTTTAGAAAGCTTATAAAAAAACACTGAGATATATTCCT